TTTTCCTATTTTAGAGGGAAATGTTGGGACAGAACTCAAATTTCTTCTCCCTCCCAGCGTTACTGAGATATGGTTGACTTTTAAGGGTGGGTCACTTTAACTATACAGTGTGATGATGCGATATGAGTATATCCTGTGACGTGTTAACCACAATAAGGTTAGTTAACCTCCTTGACTTCACACTGTTGCCATTTCTTGTAGTTGTTGTCATGGAGAGAACTTTGAGCTTTACTCTATAGTAACCTTCAAGGGCACAACAGTGTTAACTATAGTCACCAGGCTGTACTTAGATCTCTGGAACTTACTCATCTTATAAGTGTGTACCCCTTGACCAACATCTCCTCGTTTTCCTCACACTCGACTCTGTTTCTACGAGTCCAGTGGGTTTAGATTTCACATAAGTGAGGTCATAACAGCATTCGTCTGTCTCGGCTTATGTCACTTAACACCCTCCAAATGGCAGCATTTTCTTCTTTTATGTGTTTTCTTAATTAGAAGTGAAAACATTTTTGTTAACGCAGTGAGCAATTGGGATTTTCATGAACGTCCTCCTCTAGTTCAGAAGTGTTTCTTCCGGAGAAAAAGCAAATGCCTCTGCCCAGGGTACCACCAGCTGCTGGAAGACAGTGAGCAGCCTTCCTGCTTCCTGGGTGTGCCCCGCTGGGGAAGCGCTGCTCGGACCCGGGCCATTCCCCTGACCTTTCCAACACTGGTCTGCTCTTCAGGTGATGACCCATGCACGTGCTCGGTACCTCCCAAACCTGGGCACACAAGGGTGGTACACAGCAATAATCAGATACCCCAGCAGGGAGCCAGTCCCTGGACACGGAGGCCAGCACTGATCATTGATTAGGAACAGGGAGAGGGCGGGAATGGGAGATCTGAGACAAGTCGAAGGGTGAGATCATTTACTCAATTGGTGTCCTTTGTAATAAAACTAACTGAGGCCCTCACACCCGGTTCCATAAAATACTAATCACTTTGTTATTCTGTAACAGCTTTTCTCTTTATGGGGGAACTCACCAGCTTTTTAATTTCCTTTATTTGATTAACAGTAGAATCAACAGCCACAGCCTGTGTTGGGCCTCATCTGTAACAGTCTCGAGTCTTAAGTAGAGATCATGCTTTTAAAGTTTTAATTTCTTAGTGGTAAACAAGGAATCTATAATTACTTAAGGAGGAAAAACACCATAGAAAGTAGTCATCATTGCTCCAAGACATTTTAATGAAGAAAAATACTGTAGATTATTACAATCTGTGTCTTTTTGACTTCGGATGTCCCCTCTCCCCCTGCTGATGACACTTTTACGATATACACAAAGTCGATTCTTCTTTTAAAAAAAAGTTTAATGATGATCTTTCCCAAATTACAGTGGTTTGAACACTCATAACAAGTAATCAGCACCCTGGATGGGTGAAAGGTCTTCAGATTCTATCTCAGGTCCTGTGACCAGAATCCGAATGGGCAGATGGGTGAGCCCAAACAGGCCTTGCAAATGTTTGCTGGACCCTGCCAATGGGCTCAATGTGAAGGGGAAGACGGGGCTCCAGAGACACCACCTCCTGCTCCGCCCAGCCCCTTCACCACCAGTGTTCAGGATTCTCTCTCTCTCTCTCTCTTTTTTTTTTTTTCCAATTTTTATGAATTCATTTTTGTTACAGATGCTTCTCCTTATGGATTCTCTGTCATAATGCTATCTCCACCTACCTACTTCTGTTCGCCCTTCTTCTCAAACACCTTATATTATTCTGCTGTCATCTATGGGGAGTTTCCAACAACACATCCAGAATCCTGCAAATCTGCGGTGAAGTTTGAACTAGTCTGCATCAGTATCAGGGGCTGGAAAAAAAAACCCCAAAATAGAAAACGCATCCAATGAGGTTTCTGCGAAGCCTATCTTCTGAAATTATAATGACCCTCCTCCTTTTTCCTTCTTGCCTTCCTTTTTGATGTTTAAATCCCTGCTTTTATAAAACAGTGATGGCGGTTATTTTTGTTTTGTTAATATCTTTAATTCAAAAAATAAATATTGTTCCCCCTATGTTGGTCACTCCACGTTTGTTTGCTTGTGTATTCAAGTTCAGTGATCTGTGAAGCCCCAAACATGACTGAGCCATGATGTACTTATTTACCGTCTCAGGAGATTGGATCCTGGTCTGGGAGACAACCTGGCACAGAGAACAGGAAAGAAGGATCCGATTCTGGTTCTTGTGCCCCTCAGCGGCCACTTTGCTCTCTGAGCTTAAATTCCTTTTCCATATACCTGGGGTGATAACAGCTACCTCAGAGACCTACCAAAAGACGAAAGCTTTGAACATATGCATGATATACAGTGAGTGCTCAAATAATGCATGTCCTCTGACCCTCTGTGCTTCTTTTCTTTCTCCCTTACTTAGCACTTGAAGAATTAGATGAAAAACGCTCAGCACGTATATCAGAAATAAGAAAATGCAAGAGTCTGACACTAGCACGTGTCCATGGGCAAGATGCTGAGTGAGGGAAACACCGGCAGAGAGACTGGTATGAAACTGCAGAAGGGGGTAGGAAGACTCCCTCCGGGATTGAGGTGAGCTGTGAAAAGCATCCATAGAACAGCACAGGGAGAATGAAGGAATCTTAGAAAGGGATGGGATGTCCGAGAGCAACTGATCTTAGGTTCTGCACAGAGTGGGACCTACCCCTCTAGGGATCGGAGTGATGTTTTCATATGATGCACAGGCACTAAAAGTCATGTAATCACACAGGGAGAGTTATCCCCCTTCCAGCTTTTGTAATCCTGAAACATTAAGAGGAAAGTCTCAGTTTCGGCCGGACTACCTTTAACACTTTTCTAACATGCAATAAGAGCTCATTTTAACAAAGATCAGGCTGTACAATCATACCTGTTAGGAGGCAAGGATATCTAGATGATTAAAAATAATGTTTTATTTTCTTTGTGTTTATTTTTTCCTATTACCTTCTGCTTTAAGTAGACTTAAATTTTAAAGGGAAGTACATTTAAAATATTAAAGTAGTAATGAAGTAGCTGGTACACAGCAGCCCTATAATGAGTTGAACTTCAGAAACGCTGACCTAGCCCACCCCTTTCACAAGAACACAGGTGAGGAAGCGGAGGTTTAGAGAAGGAAGGTACTCTTTTCCAAGAGCACATGGCTGGCTATCCTGAGGACTGAAGCTCATTTCTTCTGTACCCCTCCTCATCTACCTCACTCTGCATCAGACAACAAATTCCTGTGTTAAACTGAAAGTAACTGGAAATAAATTAAACAACAGACTGTGTGCTGTGGGTTACCAGGAAGGGACTCGTTCAAGAGGCTGGTGTGTGTTACAGGTGAGCCTTGGAGAAGACAAAGACTTGCACAGAAGCTGGTACTACAGGTCTGAGCTCCTCATCGAGTCTAAGGCATGCCCTGTGGGCACCGAGAGAAGTCTTGGGAGTCAGCCCCAAAGGTGGTAGCGGCAGAGATTCCTCTTGGAATCCAGCGAAGATGGCTGGAATCCCAACGTCTCTATTTGGCAAGGAACCAGGAAACACATCTCAGCTCATCCATAAAAATTTATAGGAATGATAATAGCTCACTTTTACTGAGCACATCATCTGCCAATCCTCTTTGATACATTATCCCACTTAACCCTCAAAAGAACACTAGAAGGCAGTTATTATTAACTGCAGATGACAGGCGAGCACATTTGGACCCTGAATGATTCAAGCGCTGCCCAGCTTCTCTGTAGCTAAGTAAGTGATGGGGTAGGATTCAAACCCCAGCACTTCCAGTCCAGAGTCTGGTCTTGGCCACACTCCTGTACTGTGAAAATTAAATGCAGACGAAGCCTATCAAGTCTCTAGCACAGTGCCCGACAAATAGCGGGGCAGGGGACGTCAGCACGTTTCCCGCCCTCCCTCTCCCTCTGCACACTCCTGGCATCTAGAACCTTCTCCGCAAAGGCCTTGCCTGGGACTACAACTCCCAGGATGCAGCAGGCAGAGAAGCTGGCCAATCAGGAAGCGCGGTCTCGCTTTTACTGCCCGCTCAGCCCCCCTGGCCACCAGAGCTTCGGTGACCGTTGGCCTGGTGGGTCGGGACGAGGTCCAGCTGTGGGCAGGCCGGGTGCTCGGTTCCAAGGACTCCTGGGCCGGGCCGGGCCGGGGGAGGGGTGGAGGCCGTGGACACCCGGGCCAGCGCAGCTCCACGCTCGGCGGGCATCGAGGCCCGGAGCCCCCTGGGGGTGGCTGCGTGCGGCCGGGTCGGCGGGGCCTGCGGCCGGCTGTCCCCATCACGTGGTCCCCGTCGGTGTGGGGGCCGGAGGGCCGTGTGCAGGGCCGTGTGCAGGGCCGTGTGCAGGCCGCGTGCAGGCCGCAGGTAGCGGTTGGACGGGCCCAACGGCCGGTCCTCGCGGGGCCCGTTGGGCCGTTAGAACGGGGCTGCGGGGTAAAACGGCCGCCGGGGCCCGGGTGTCCCCGCTCCTGCCGCGCTGGTGCCTCAGCTGTGGGTGTCTGGGCCTCTGCCCCCCAAGGCCTGCCTCCACCTCCCGCCTCCGGGCAGCAGCCCTTGCGACCCCTCCTGCCCCTGATGGGCCGCCTGACCCGGCCCCGCGGGACCGAGGCACCGAGGCAGCCGGGCCCTGACCCGGGAAGGGCTCTGGTCACAGCTCAGCCGCTGGCCCGCCCCCACCCATGGGTGCTGGGGAGCCCTGGGCAGCCGGAGCCCGGAGTGGGCGGGCGGGTCAACTTCTCGGGCATTTCTCCGTCCATTTAGCCCCCTCCCCATTGATTTCTCATATCTTAGAGTTGATTTCACCATCCCGACACCCCCTTTATTTTCTGCCTCGGACCCAAGTCTCGGGGTCGGCCGGAGGGAGAGCTGCCTGTGCGGGCTGGGCCGGGGCTGGGGCCGGGCCTGGGCCTGGGGCTGGGGCTGGGGCTGGGGCTGGGCCGGGCGGGCGGCGCGCAGGGCAGGGCCTTCGCCGGCCTGGGAAGGACACACCTGTGCTCCGTTGCAGTGGCTCCGGAGTGACCGAGAAGTGCCGTCAACCCCTCTGACGCGGGAGAAGGCGGAGGCCAGGGGACCATTTCGAGGTTGGTTTGCTTTCCTCCTTTCGGGCCGCCCAGCCCGCGCGTGGCCGTGGCCGGAGCGGTGCTGGCCGGCGGAGGTCTTCAAGTCGTCCTGGAGGCGGAAGGGCCGCGGCTGGTGTCTGGTGACCCACCTGTGCTCTCGTTGCTGACACGGTGGTTCAGTGCGCGTTCTGCCCTTGGGACGTAGGGGTGAGGACTTGGGGGCTTAGGCCGCCCTCCTTTCCTTCGCCGAAGCAAGTGGTCATTTGGCCGCCCTCGTAGTGAATTACAATTGAGTCTAGTTTGAGTTTTACTCTGTATTTGAGGAAATTATACGTGGACCCTGTCACTCAAGAGTAAGTTAGAGAAAGACACTGACTTACATGTAAACAGAATCGGAGAAGACCTCCCGGGGCTGCTAGCCTGTCAGGTGGCTTAGGGGTGCTGACTTTCTGAAAGGGGGACCTCGGGTTTCCCCTGCAAGGGCCCGTCTTGCGGAAATGGTTTGATTCAAGAGGAAACATCCCAAGAATTCCAGTTGGAGGTATTTTCAGTTGAGAAAATATTAACATAAATTGATGTCTTCTTATGTTAGAATTCTAACTGTAAAGACTGTTTTTTCACAATTATTTCGGTTCTGAAATAACAGATTTTCCTTTTAGATGTACTGAAAATTTCAATATTTTAATAGTCGGCATAAATACTTCTGATTTATACATTTTTTGTTTCTCTTTTCAAATCAGATGTTGAATAGCGACGTTTCTGACCACAGGCTAAACGTGGAAGCCATCATTAGAAATATTAATACAATTTCTTTGGAGTTGAAGAAGATGAAAGGTAACTGTCGAATCACTAAATCAAAAGTTTACATGTCATTGTTATAAAATAAATAGAGCCATTTTTTGCTTCTGCTGGGGTGTTAGTGAATTTTGCCCACTAATTAGGATTTTTCTATTTCTTAAGAAATGCTTACATTATAATATGAACTAGATCTCTAAAGGTGAATTATTTTTGAGTATTGATTGATCTAGGAGTTAGCCAGCTTGAATTCCCATCCTTGATACTAACAAGCTTATGATGGTGTCTAACTAACCTCTCTAAGTTACTGCCCTTTCTTCCTTTCAACTAACTATTACATGACAGTGTCCCATTCTGCAAAAGTCAGTGTCTCTACTCATTAATTCTTACTAAGCCCTTAAGGTTCTTTACAAATTAAAAATAAGTTTGTTTGATTCTGTGAGTTAAGGGCTCTTCATTTTAAACAGATTCATAGAGTTGGATTAGACCTTATAGGTCACGATATCTAGTCACTCACCTCACAGACTTACTCTGTCTTATCCCAGGCATGTATAATTGTCACGACTGGACATTTCTAGGGGTGACCTATCCCTTACCAAACATCCCCTATGTTGGGGAACTCCCTCTCCCACCAGTCAACCTCTTCCACTTTCAGACAGTTGCTCCTTGTGGACCAGCTAACATCTGTTCCCCTATTCCTTTTGCCCACTTCTTACCGTGAAAACTCATTATGTAATTCTTTTGACAACTCTTGGGTATTTGAAGATGGCCTTTGTGTAGGTTATAAGGCCTTTAGCTACACATACAACAATACCAACTTAACGTGGCTTATACAGTAAGGAAAAATAACAAGAAGACCCAAGGTAGGGCAGCCCTAAAATTGATTCAGAGTTTTAAAGACTTCACTGGGTACTGGGTTCTTTCTAAACTTTTACTCTGTTATGTTCACTTAGTACATCACTCCTCATGGTCATTACCTGCAGACATAGCCGTATATAGACACTCTCTCTGCCTGTATAAACCCTTCCCGATCCCTCCAGCACATTTCCCTTTCCTTTCATTGGCCAGATATGCACCACAGGCGTCTGTCTGCAGCGGCCGCTGCCAAGGGGAAGGGGACGGCCAAGACCAGTGTGGACCAGGCAGAGCTCACTGCCGAAGCTGGAGAGGACAGGACCACCACAAGTGCAGTTAGAGTGTGCCACCAGGAGGAAGAGGAGGGTGGCTGTTAGCTAGGCACCGAATAGTGAGTGCCTGTTACGCTCTTTCTACCTGTTTTCCCAGGCAGCATTTCCCAGGCTTCGCTCTGTGAACCCTGCTGTCTTAAGTTAATAGATGGGTGCAATAAAAATGGAGTCCACATTCTTAGGGGACTTAAGTTTGGGAAGTGCATCACGTTCTATATTTCTCTCACAAATTTACAATACACATTAACAAACGCACTGAGGAGTCTGATGGAAAGAAATCTGGTTAGCTTTGCTTAATTCATCATCTCCAAAGCCAGTCTCACTTCTACAGCAAAGATTATCTTTCTAAAATGTAAATCTGCTCAAAAATGCCCACTGGTTCACTGTTGTCCTCAAAATAAAGTCCAAACCTCCTCGAATGGACTATAAGACCTCTGAGACCAGGCCCCCGCCTATCCATCTAATCTACTTTTTCCCTGCATGTGTCACGCGCCAGCCATGTAAACTGTGTTCACGTCTACACAGTTGCTCTTTGTTTGTCTTTGCTTTAACGCATGCATCTCCTTTTGTGCCCACTGCTGCACCCACCTCCACCCCACGAGGTCAACTGCTGCTGACACTGTGTTAGTCAGGGTTACTCAGGTTGAACACTTGAAGCCAGCATGTTATCTCTTCTGCCTTTTCATACCACCTATCACAGGGCTGTAATTGCATGTTTATGTCCTTTTCCCATCCCTGCTCAACTGTAAGTTTTCTAAAGGTATTCCTAGCAGTTAACACAGTGCCTTGATATAATAGGTTCTTGGAAAATGTTTCCTAAATGAATAATTGGTTGCACTCATTTAAAACATTTCTCTCTAACTTGATTATCTACCTGTTCTAGTTTGGGGATTCTTTCATAGAGTAAAATAGTAATAATAAATATGATATATGTATTCCTAAAAAGTTGTGGGGTAGGTCAGGCAATTAGGATACAAGGGACTTTTGTAGACTTGTAGGAGGGTAGACTTCTGGTAAATGTTGAAGATTGATTACATGAACACTCTGTTTATCCCACCTCCCCCCAAAATAATAATGTCAATAGATTACACATAACATTTACCACAATCCAGATACTCTTCCAAGGGCTTTACATAAATGGACTCAATTGTTATAACAGCCTGTGTGTTAGGAACTATTACCATTGGCATTTACAGATACAGAAACAGACATGGAGAGGTTAACTAATTTTCCCAAACACCTGAGAGTTAGTGATTTTAAACAGACAAAAAAATCCATAAGACAGAGAGTTCTCAAAGTGTTAAGTACTAAACAGAAAGCAGATGGAAGCTAACAGACATTTAAACCCTAAAGTCCAAAAATCTGAACTGTGAGCTGGCTGGGTAAAGCCAACAAAGAGCCCCGAAGACTCAACACAACACATGGTTGCACCAGAATCTTCTGGAAGTCGGCTGGAGGTGGAGCTAAGGACAGGAGGATGGTTAAATGTTTAAGAAGTTATAGACCCCCAAGGTCTCCTTCCCCCTCTGCATAACTAGGTAACTTTCTCTGTGACAGGAGACGCAAAGATTATTCTCTGAGAGGGTAAAACAAGGGGTCGCTGGCCTGGAGCCACTAGCCACAAGTTGAGGGGCGTAGAGTACTGGACTAAAAACAAGGGTATTAAGACAAAGTTTACCTCCAGCTTTCTCTTCCCACTTGGCTATGAGACATTGGCAGCCTGATCTATACCCTCAAGCAGATTTTTCTTTTAAGAATTTGACTAGCCTAAGCGAAAAGACCTAAAAATACTGGCAGCCCAGGTTTCCCCAACTAAAGACCCAGTCAGACCCACCCACATCCAGACTACCACGAGCATAGAGCTTCTGCTTGTCCCTGCAGCGCCACGGCCTCAGTGTGAGCAGACAGCCATGGCGCAAGATGTCCGAGGAAAGCATACTGTGAAAAGCAGAGACAGAACCGATGAACAGATCCAATCACAGAGAAAGAGACGCAAATTAGGAGGGAAATGAAAACTCCGAGAAACCAGTATCCACAGAGGACAGAAGATGCCATGTCCATGAAAAAGGAACACGGAACTACAAAAGATGTTTAGAGAACTGAAGGGAGCTGTTGGAAATTTAAAATGCAAGAGTAGACATAGACTCAGTAGAACAGTTAAAGATAAAAATGAAGAAAGTTTTAGGGGGGAAGTGACCAATCAGCCATGAAGTCCCAATATCCAATAAGCAGGAATGTTAGAAAAACATAAACAATGGACCAGGAGGAATTCATTACAGAAATAATCTGAGGAACTAACTCTTTGAGAGTTGAAAGGTAAGAGTTTTTAACGAAACAGCCCAACACAGTGGATGAAATAGACACCAAAATACAATACCGTGAGGTTTCAGAACACGAACAGAAGATCCGCAAAGCTGCTAAAGAGAACAACGAAGAGAATCTTGAAGATTCCCAACAGCAACACTGGGGGCTGAAGAAAATGCAGCAGTGCCCTGGAAGTCTGAAGAAACACGATTTCCAACCTCGGTTTCTACCGTCGGTCCATTAAGCACTGGTGTAGAGAGATGTTCCCCTCGAGAAGTCACTAAGGTTATATTTCACCAAACAAGGGAGCAGACCAAAAAGGGAAACACATGAGATTCTGGAAAAAGGATGCTCCACACCAGGGCGGGGTGAGAGGTCCCTAGGGTCACGGTGAAGGGAGGGCCCGGCACGCGAGCTGCACAGCAGGTTGGTCCGGTCTGAGCCGGTCAGAAGGCTGTTGGAGAGGAGAGTTTCAGCTAGGACCAGCCAAGGCACTTGATTGTACGGAGTGATTTGGGACATATTCATGATAATTAAACAATGAGAGGAGCTGTGGTGGGTGGTAGCTTAAAGGAAGGGAAATGTCATATTACAAGCCTCAGCTGTGATGAAGAGTTATAGAATCAAAAACTGGAACATTAAATACTGAGCAAAATTTATACTCGAGGACATTGGGGATGGGTGTGAGTGAAAAGAGTTATAGCTTAATCTTCTGTAATCAGAAGCAGATAACACTGCTTGTCATTTAGACATATGGAGGTAATTCCAGTCCCCACCTAAAAAAGAAAAGAAACCACACACAAAAAAAACAAAAGCAAATAAAAACAAAAATGAGTTTAAAAAGTCAAAAGTGGTTGCCTCTGGGTCAAAACTGCTAATTTTTGTAACATGCCTTATAGGCCTATGTGTGGGTACAACATAAAAGTGGTAAGCTTAAAAAAAGTATGAATCAAATTTCCGTAAGTCAAGTTGCAGTTTTGCAAAATAGCTGACAAGGTGGGCTGAAGAACCCTTCTAGTAAGTTTTCCTCATGCTTATTTTGTAGTACACAAATTTGACTTGGTCACAATGAGCACACTGAAATTGTGCCTTGATCAACAGTCACTTAAAACTAAATCAAGAATTGGGAAACAGCTACTGCAGTGACGGCTGTCCGGGCCAAGCGGGCCGCAGTACAATGCCTGTGTTCTGTTTCCCAGAGCTCTCCCAGCTACTGCTGTGCGACCTGACTCTGCATTTTAATCATCCTGTGAGGACAGAGGACTTCAAGGAAACAGAAGGAAATAACTCCCCCTTTGAAGAGTCGAAACTATCAGATGTATCCCTTGCTTCTAAAAGTTTTTCTCCCTAATTTCCTATTTATCTGTTGTGAATTTATGGCTGTAGTACTGTTCAATTAACAAGTATCTGGGAGAACTGAGTTTTCTAATATATTTAATAAAATATGTTGAGTTATAATCATTTTATGTTCCTGAAGGCTGTTGTGTTGTTGTTTTAATATTTCAAAGAATGACTAATTTATTTGACTAACGGCTAGGGTATGACATAGGAAATTGGCCATGTGGCACTGCTTATCATTTACCCTATGCTTGCATTTGGCTCAGGCTGAAGGAGACTCACTAAATTATAAATGGATGGTATGAGTTTATATTAATATCTCCTCATAGCAAGTGCCAGAAACGACTCGAGCTGAAGTATGTATTGGGTCGTGTGACTAGGAAGTCCACGGTTGGAGTAGATGTCAAGGACTCCACTAATTGACCAGATGGCTCTATCCTGGTTCTGGTTCTGTGCATTAGCCTCCTCCTCCCCTGTTGTGGACTGGCTTCCTCCAAAAGACACAATGTGAGGAGAGGCGTGGCAGCAGACGATTCTGGTGTACAGATCCCCAGAGGAGAGGTCCTCTGATTCAGCCTGTGTTGAACGTCCCAGAGAAGGACACCAGCTTTGGTTAAGGTGTTCATCCCTGAGCAGGGTCCTAAGCAACTGTGCTTGGTCAGGCTGGGACACATGCCAGGTCTGTGGCAAAGGAGGAGGGGCCCCACCAGAACAGAGCTGCCATTGCTTGAAGAAGGGGAGAAAGAATGCTAGTCACAGCAACAGCAGGTACTCGAAAGGTGAAAGTCAGTGGTTCGAGGTGCGCAGGCGTGCTAAATAGCAATCTCAGACGGTGAATATAGAAAAACTGGGTTTATTTCAAGAAAGGGGGGTGGGGGGTGGGGCTATCCAAAGGGAAGGGCTGCACATCAACGAGCCATGGGTGTGGGTCAATGAAGGCCGCCCCTAAGAGCTGGGGTTTCGTCCTTACATGCTTCCACTGGCGGGAAGCTTTCGCCTGTCGGGGTGCGGGGGTCTTGGTTGGGGGTGTGGGCAGGGGTCGGATCCACAGGAATGCAGATGTGCGACTGGCGCGGCTCCGGCTCCTGCAGTCCAGTTGCACTCCTGTCTGGCCAGCTTGGTCTTCGTTCTGGGGCGGGGAGCTTGCGGAGTGGCTGTTAGGGACGACTGCCTGTGCGAGTCCTAACAGTGCTCACCGCCGATTCCAGCCGTAGCAGGACAGCTTTGAGTTTTATATCTTCGTCCCCAAACTTCGAATTCCTGTCCCTTTCCACCAAAGGAGACTTAAAATAATAGGCTTTGGTTTGCCTTGTACACGATTTACTACCAAGTAGTTGATTTGAAATCTACCATGTCCTTCATGTTAGATATTTTTTAATATAAAGGATAGAATACTATGAAGCAAGACACAAGGTCAGCTCCAGTACAGAACTCATAGTGGTTGTTAGCCTCACTACCCGGAACCTAACTCAATATTTAACACAGATCAGGCATTGAATAAATGCTTGTTGAATATTCTGTTGAATAAACATGTAAATAAATGCAGGTTTTCAGCTTTAGAACTCCCAAGTTCTGGACTCTAAACTGAGAACTTTGGTTTGTAAGGATGAAATTTTGTGAAACATTTTTATCATTGGTTAAAAGTATCCACACACTCATCATAGTAAACTGTCAGTTTTAACACAGTGACTTCCTAGATCCCTTCCATGTTCTATTAGCTCATGAAAATGAAGTCGCAAGATATTTGCCACCCAGAAAACTCGTAGATTAAGCAAGAAGCCAACAATTTTTGTTAATAAAAGTTGTGGAATAAGAACCAAGGGTCCAAAAGGGAAAGCGTGAAGAATCCTAAATTCCAGGTTTTTGTTTCATAAAATGCCTACTAAAGTGAGATAAGTAAATGAAGGAAAGAGCTGAATTGCTTTGCAGAATCTGTAAAGCTTTTTGGGAAAGGATGAGGAAAAACACTTTATGACAATTGACCGGGAGATAAAAAGAGGTGGAAGAAAGGTCATCCAGCCAGAAACGCTGATCAGTGTTCTGTGTACATTCATTGCTTTTTCATCTTCCCAGGAAGACCTTGGTAACATCTACATCACTTAACATGCTTTTGGAGTTCGGTGGGGGTAGAGGAGGTGGGATGTGGGTGTTGAGATGTAATGTACTTAAATCCAGATGTATTTGACACCCAAACCTCACCTCTGAATTTAAAATGTTTCATTTTGGTATTTGTAGCTTAAGTTTGCTTTAAAACAAAAATACAATAGTACAGACTAAACAGTAAAGTCAGTAAGGTTGTTTCAGGAACTCAAAAGTGAAGTAAAAGGCAAATTCATTTTAATCCCAGGAAGTTATTCCAACATGCATTTATCTTTGCATAAAAAAAGTATACAAAATCCCCTCAACAAAAAGAAACACCAAGTAAGAAAGGACAAAAGACTTTTGAAGACTTTTAAATTATTGCTGCTAAGAAAGTTAATTTTAATAGTTTTTAAATTATCCATTTAAAACTGATGATTGCCACTGAATGACAAGGTTCGGCTATCCAAAAAATCAGTTTTATGTGCTAGCAAAAACTATTATTGTTTAAGTGTTTTGAAACTTGCCCCGAATTATGTAGCTGTATAAACAACTGTACTTTAATATGGGTACAGAAATGCACGTTATTTATATGAGTTACTACAGTGTAGGACTAGAGTTCAAGTGTGAACATTGTCCCTTTACACTGCAGAATAAATAAATTATGGGACACCTGACAGTCTTCATTTCAAACACTTCTTTAAGCGAAAGGACCAAACCTTTGTGTTTGAGTTGAGGGGTTTGATTCGGTCCTAAGTGTCCAGTCACCAAGGTTGGCTTCCTGTGCCCCAGCAGGGTGGGGGGCTTCCCTGCCTGGCCACTCGCTACGGGAACCCTGCGGCGTGTGTCAACGTGCACTGGTATCTGGAGCCTCGGTTTTTCCCGTCGATGAGCAGGAGCGGCATTTTCCGGAAGTAGTCGATGATATCCGACACAGACAGAAAGTCCTGGAAGGTTCCAAACAGGAGACAAATCAACACTGGAGCAAGCGGCATGCATTTCACCCTCGGTTCTAAAATCTGCATAATCTCCTACCCCTGGGAGCTATGAGGATTTTGATTTAAAAAAATAAATAGCCCTGGCTGGTTTGGCCTGGCGGTTAGAGCGTGGGATGTGGACCAGAGACCCAGGTTCGGTTCCCGCTAAGGACACGTACCTCGGTTGCAGTGTGTCCCTGGCCCTGGTTGGGTTGTGCAGGTGGCACCCACTCGATGTGTCTCTCTCACATCGATGTTTCTCTCTCTCTCCCTCTCTCCCACTCTATCTGAAGATAAATGCAAAAATGTCCTCAGGTGAGGATTAAATAAATAAAAATTGGGCAAAAACTTTATTCATTTCTACTGTAGAACTTTGAAAAAATAATTACTCACCAACATCCAATGAATTATGGATAAAAGATATATATATATATAGAGAGAGAGAGAGATGTAGATATAGATATAGACAACTAATATCTAATATATATATGACTAATATATATATGATGTGTGTATATAGATAGTTTTTAAACCTCATATAGGGGGTCTAATTATTATACCTTTGTCTTAGGACTTCTCTCTCGGTATTTTTTTTTTTTAATCCTCACCCGAGGATATTTTTCCATTTTTTGTTCAGGTAGAGTGGGAGGGAGAGAGAGGAACAGAGAGAGAGAGAGAAACATCGATGTGAAAGGGACACAACGAGTGGCTGCCACCCGCACAACCGACCAGGGCCAGGGACAAACTGCAACCGAGGTACGTGCCCTTAGCGGGAACCGAATCCGGGTCTCTCAGGACCGCAGGCCGACGCTCTAACCGCTGAGCCAAACCGGCCAGGGCTCTCTCGGTATTTTTGATTCTGGTTTCTGGATCCCATATCTCCATCATTAACAGTGTGAGAAGGTGTAAGGAATCAGGAGGCCAGTGTCCCTGGCGGCTGAAGGGGACACCTGCAGCCTGGCATAATAGTTCCTTCATGCTCGCTGCTGCATCCCCACCCCCACCCTCCACTGCCGGGCTCTGTAGCCGAGTCTTTGCATTCATGGGCTGGATCCCCCAGTCCCTGATAGCCAGACTGGGAAAACCCCACGCATCCTTCTAGATGTGGGTCAGAAGTCAGCCAGGTGCCCAGACAGGCTCCCGCACTTCCCCTGAGACTGCTCTGCCGGCGCCTCCCTGGGGGCAGCTGCGATTGGACTTGTGTTTCCACACTAGACGTACAGAGTTCTTGGAGGACAGACATCTCTGCTCCTATGCCACCTGTGCAACTCTCACCACACCAACCCAGTGATTCAAACAGTTCACCCGAATCATGTTTTCTTCTACTAAGTAGCATGATCGCAACTTAAACATATGTGGAGTGAAATGGAAGTTATGGGCGAGCTGTTTCTCATTCTGGAAACGTTTGGTTCAGCTGATCCTCCCTCCTGGGATTGGGAACTTAAAGAACGTGTTTGGGGCATTACATTTAGTCTGATGACCCCCGAAATGACTGGCACAGACCTCGGCCGAACAGGGGACAATGTCCTGGGCAATTTGGCCTACTTCACGGGCCAGACCTCCGTCTTCAGTAGGAAAGGAGCCAAACAGCTGAATAATCACCACAATTCTGTTTTTCCCTTTTCCATTTGTCGATTTAAAATACACTGCAACCTGCCCTGGCCAGTTTGGCCCAGTGGTTGAGCGTCGGCCTGCAGACTAGAGAGTCCCGGGTTCAGTTCCCACTAGGGGCATGTACCACCAAAAAAATAAATAAATAAATACACTGCAATCTTACATTTAAATTATGTCACAAAGGTGACTGATAAAGGGACTTGCCTTTGACACCATCTCCCTGGATCTCTTTTGAAATATTTAAATATTTACATATATTTTCTCATTTCAAATGCTAGATGTGATTTTCAGTTATTTGGAATAAAAGACGTAAGAAAGATTCCTATGGCAGAGGTAGCTACTGTTAGCATTTTATTTCATTTTTTTTCCAGTAAACGAAGGGTTGCGCGAACGTGATTTAATTCTAAAGCTGTCACAGTATGGACCCGCCAAGAATGTTCCAGCCAAGTTCCGTGTCGGCAGGAGCGCAGGGGGGCAGAACAAGGGAACTGGGGGCAATGTTGCAACTGCAAGTCCTTACCTCCTTCCCTCGGAGTCCAGTTCCCAACATGTAAACTTGGCTTTCCTCCAGGTAACGGATCTGGATGTTGTAAACTTTATCTTTGTATAACACCATGAGGACATACGGGTTGGCTGTCGTTTTTTTAGAGCTGTCTCTAACCAGAAAAGTGCCATCCTGGAAGGAAAAATTCTTGTGATGATGGGAGCAGCAAAAGCCAACCCTTCTGTTGCCTCTAACCGCAGTGGACAAGTCTCTGGGGATCTGCAAAGTTATTGTTGACAGGCTGGCGAACGTTCGGGTCCCCAAACAGCTAAAATCCCATGTGTCATGGCTTTCCTGGTTATTGAGCAGGAGGCAGCGCAAAGATTATCAGAGAAATTTCTGAGTCAACTTCTGAAGTCTCTTGATGAAAGGGAATCCCCTTTTCAGTAATAAAACAGATATGTGTTGAGTGGATAAAGGGCCAAGTGAAATAAGGACTTGATTGGCTAACTAAGGATATATCTACACCTGGGAGCTAATTTTCTAGCCCTTCCTTCCACAGCCAAAGACAGAAAACACCGAAATGCCTATGAAACTCACCCGTTTTAAACCTCATGATCTCCAGGTGAGATGTTTCTTGTCCGAACAAAACTGAATGTGGACCACCTGTGTGCTTATATATTTTTTCTGATATTTACTAAAGTAGTGCTGTGATCCATCCTGTACTTAAATTTGTATTCCATAAGTTATTGCTATGTAATATTAATACTGTAAAGACCTAGTATTAAAACAGAATTAAGTAGTAAGGAGGCACTTAAACTCCTCTCTGGTATTAAATGGGAATGGCTTTAAATAGCCATCAATCAGCATTAATGGCTTTCCTTTGTTCTTGTCATTGCAAGTTAATGAGTAAATTTCGGCCTGAACACCTCTGTTGAAAAAATGTACCTGTGGACCAGCCATACAGAGCCTTGGCTTCACTTTAGAATCATCTGGAGAGTTTTGAAGGCTTCCAGCCCACACACAATGCCCCCCCACTAATTCAATGAGAATCTCTCCAGGTGCGATCCAGAGATCCGAATTTTTTTAAAGCTCCCCAGGTGATTTAAAGGTGCCCTTGAGGTGGAGAACTACCGCTGCAGACTGGAGACGTGAACCAAGGGCCTCCGCTTTCTCCTCTCTGGTATTATGTAGGTTCAGCAGCAGATGACAAGAAATCTGGTTAAGACCTGAGAATAATAACGGACAGCTAGACTTTTCTCGGGGAAAGGGCAAACCGTCACTGCTGTCTTTCTGGATCTGATCTCTTCCCTTCGATGTGAATGGCAGCTGAGTAGGAGGAGGCAGATGGAACCGGTAAGATGTCAGACCTTTGGGGAGAGTCCTTTTAGACAGTATATGATTCCTATGGCAAGACAGACCCTTTTGATAATAAAAGCTGTGAGTCTGCTAGCCAAAATCAATAATCAAATCTGGGATTCTGCCAGCCAGATGGCAGCTGAATTTGGATTTTTCTCAGGAGTCACTGCTACGGTTGCTGGGAGGTGAGGAGCTGGTACTAACAGGTCCCCTCGGTATGACAGCACGAACCCAGCAGAATTCCTAGCCCACAACTGGGACTCGGTAAAAGCCAGTTCTCTTTTTCTCCTCCGTTAATATGTGTCAGCACTTAAAATAAACTCTAGCACAGTACCTGGTTTATCCTTCGGAGAGCAGCTTCCGCCTCTGGTCGGGTGATGTAAGAAACATACCACTCTGGGTTTAATGAGTTCTGAAAATGTAAATTTTTAAAAACGGAATCAATTTTGCAGTTACATAGGTAAGTAAAAAGAAAAGCCTCCAAGTAATCATTTCCATAAATCACTGCCTCAATTCCATGAGGTTTGAAACATTTGTTTTCTTCATTTGGATAGAGAATCGTTCAGGTAAGGCTAAATAGAAGATACTTCCTGTGCACTGCTTTTTATCATGACGTTGGTTTCCAACAGCTGTGAATAAGCATTCCTCATATAATGGAACCTCTAATCAGGAAAAGTATAGCTATAACGATTTCCTCGATTTAATATAATAATATACTTAATGAAAAACTGAATTAACAAGCATTCAAAGGACTTATTCAAGGTCATAAACTAGGAAATCAGATTAAGTTACTCATTGTTAAATGCCCAAGATATTTGCTATTGGAAATGTCTGCAAGAACACCAAGGAAAAGAATATAATTTTCACCTGGATCCTCCCTTTTAATTATTTTCATTCAAAAAAAAAAAATTAAGGCCAATAGCAGATCAGAGTACAAAAGAATATCCAGCGGGCATTTATGATGGCTCGTTTGCTGGGAACATGAAATGACAGCATCTGCTGTCTTACCTCCTCTTCCCCAGGGGACGGCGGCCGGAGCTTGTTTGGAACTGGCAAGGAGAAGTTCCTGCCTTCGGCTCTGGGGGGCGGTCTGTGGCCAGCACCTTCAAAAGTACAACACTTGGAGGTTAATTTACTGTAAACCCCCTTTCACTTCTGTCATAACACTCCCCCACAATGCCGTTGCAATTGTTTCCAGAAATGAACATATCAAGAGGTCATAGCTCCAAAAATAATTTTCACCTCTGCAGAAGCACAAGGGCTGCTCGGGCATTGTTCTGTAGCTGTGCCACTGAAATGTTCAAGTAGGACCTCCCATGCAAGTGAATTCCTAAACGTGGACGTTACAGAAACGGAGTGACTAGCTCCACGGGTGGAAAAGTCAGTAATTTTAATGTGATCTCCAGAAAGAATATTCAGGAGACAGATCTTTCATAGACTCCAGCAGCTCCAGGATGGAGCCCCAGCCAACGATGTGGTGACAAGGTGAAGAGAACTGGGTTCTCATCATGTTCGCAAAAAGAAGTGTCTGTTGCCCATGACAAGGTGAAACTACCTTGAGAATATCGTTGGCTTTAGAACAAGAGTCTGCGGTCTGCTGCTCACTGTCATTGAACACCCAGAGGGGACAGTCATTGAAAACGCACGTCCTCACCCACACTCACTGAATTGGAATCTTGGGGGTCGGGGTCAGGTTCTCTTAGTTTGTATTTGTAAACATACCCCTCAATTTGTAACTCCAGGGTAGATTCATTGTGGAAACCTAAAACTACAGAGAAAGCCCAGCACCACCCTGAGCTGGGTATAAAAATGGCAGGCAAGGAGAGCTGTCTGGAAAGCCCAGCCAAGGCCACCTCCCGGAGGGCGCACGTGCGTGTGCGTGCACGTGCGCGTGTGCATGTGCGCGTGTGAGATGCAGAGTCCTGTCATTCCAACAGCCCTTGGCGCACTGCAGAAGCCGACGTAGTGCTGGCGGAGGAAGTCGGGGTCCAGGAAGTGGGGGGCCGTTCGGAAACAGGGGAACTTTGCCGGGGGCTTTGGGTGGGTGGCCGCCCAGGCGTGAAGGCGCGGCTGGCGCGCCCAGGGCGCAGCGCACAAACCTTGAGAGAAGTACGGCGGCAGGGAGGCGCTCTGCGGGAAACCGCCGCTGTGGAGACAAGGACAGGCTGTCAGGGGCTGAGGTCAAGGGCCGGGCGGGCGGCTGCATCAGGGAAACTGGACTAGAAATGCTCCTCCCTTTGCTGTCACCTCCCAGCCAGCCCGAGACCCGGGAGGGAGCATGGAGAAGGGACCGGGCACGATCTCACTCCCGCCCCGACGTCTAACAAGCTTCCCCAGGCCAAAACAACAAGAAAACGATGTGAAGGACATTGAAAAATGACTTATCAAGTTTGCTGCAGCTCGGGGCTTTTGAGCTTGCGAATGGCAGAGGTCCTCTGGGGAGAGGACCTATCTTTTGGTTAGGAAATTACAGTGGTGGGCACGGCATTGGGGAACAGGGAACCCCAGGGCCTAATGGTGGACGAGAGGGTGGGTGGGTGAGACACACAGAGACCGGGTGCCAGTGCAGCAGATGGCACCGGCTTCTGGGGGCCCTCAATGCCCCACCCCACCCCCGCCCGCCCAAACCTCCTGTTCAAGTCTGCTCGCGAGCTCACGGGAGCCATGTTCTGCAGGGACGAGGGCTAGGGCGGGCCCGGCGTGGGGCGAAGCGGTGTGCAAAATGGCACACGTGGCAGAAGAACAAACGCAACTGGACGGGTCAGAAGCAGCAGCAGAAAATCAGAGCAAGAGGCATGCAGGGAAGTTGAAGAAAACTGAGGCTCCTTCATGATGGGCAGGGGCAGAGGGTGTGCTGGTGGCTGAGTTTTCTCCCGTATTTAGAATGGGGCTGGGCCTCTCCCTTTAGATGTTAAGGGAGAGAGTGAGCCCAGAGGGCTGATGGTCTGGGGGCCCCCAGGAGGCATCGCTGTGGGCTGCTTGAAGGGGAAATGACCTGAGTCTTTTTTCTACTCCTGCTCTGCCTGCGGACAGCCTCATCGTGGGCCCTGAGACACGCCATCACAGAGAGGGCCTGCAGGGAAGAGCCTGTGCCAAGGGCAAGGTACGTTTTCTTCGCCTCCCATCAAAGACTCCAAGGACTTAAATAACTGGGGTTCTTGAGTGTTTGTTTTAACTCATAAAGTGAAAACATTCTGAATTTCCTGCCAAAGAGTCCGTTCTTTCGGGCGACCACAGGGCATTCTGTTCTGTACCCCTCTGACCCCAAGCCCAGACTCAGAGGACACCAGTGGATTAAGACGTGTGATCCCTCAGGATTAGCTTGGTTTGGGTTCTTAAGACCCAAAATGTTCTGACCCTACCACACACTGGCTCGTTTCTTTCTTCCTCAACCTACCTGACATTAGCTCAGTGTCAATGGACCCAGATGTCGAGTTAGATCTTAAGGACATGGCCACCAACCTCTCCGAGAATGTGCCGGACTTGTGAGGCGACGGGAGAGAGTGCTTGGGCGACGGCTTGGTGGATCGCGAGGGGAAGGTGTTGGAGCTCATGAGGTGCGGTGTGGGCTGGGGCAACGGTCTCTGATGCACTGTGGGAACGAAGACAAGAACAGAGCCGATGTCAGGATCCAGGTGTCAAGAGGACCTTCCTGAGCAGCTCCCCCATTAGAAACAACTAGTCTACAGAGAGAGAACATCCCAAAAAGATCAATGTAATTAGAAGTGATGGGATGGAACCCCCCCCCCCCACCAAGGACTTACTAGATGACTTTTCACCGTAGAATGCATTTTTAATACTGCTGTTCTAGATCATTCTCTATCATACACATTTATCTTTTTTTTTTTTTTTCATTTTTGAAACACTAACTTGGCAGAAAATTGTCAGTTGAAAACCATATGGATTTCAGAAATGGTTCACATTTTGTTTTATGAAAGCCAAATCGTGTGCTGTGACACTTGTCCTCCTCCCATGGGAGTGAGAGGCACAGACATGCTCCTGGCAAACCACACGTGTCATTTCTAATTCGCTGCACACTGATGCACAGGTACTTAGTAGTTCACGTTGGTGAGCCCGCCAAACAAGACCACTTTATTATAGTTCTGCAGTGTGCCAGCTGACATATGTCTGTCTACTACTAATTTCAACAGATACAATGGACTTTATGGGGTTTCTATACTAAATAATTTCATTGGAATGCCTGAGCAGAAAAATGAAGGGATGAGTTATAACTTGTAAGAAGAGGAACTTACTGTCATCTTCATCCTGGTAAAGGGAAGAAAAAAAAAAAAGATATTAACCTATCATCAAAATGAGATTCTTCATATAAATGTCCCTGTTTCCCTTCAGCAGCGCGCGGCTCCATTCTATATAGATAGATAGATAGATAGATAGATAGATAGATAGATGGATAGTAGGGAACAGAACTTGCTACGTGGTTTATGATTCCTTAATACTACCCGGCATCGAAGGACACCCCCCCGGAGTCTCTTCCTGTATGCTTAGCGTCAGATAGGCCCGGGGTGCCTAGGAGGGCTAGAGATACAATAATCATGACGCCACCTACTACCTGCCCCCAATGATTCATCCATGTTATTTCACCCAATGCCCCTAGCAACCCGCCAGGGCATAGCATCCTCGTTTACAAGTGGAGATACGCCGCTCAGGAGGGTTCCTGACTTGTCAAGGGTTACAGAACTGGGTTCTGCACAGCTCAGTCCTCTTTGGGGCTCTGCTCTGTGATGGCCGCTCCTGTTAAGAGCAACTCTATCTATTCACGATGCGCCTCCGTCCCTCAGCCCGCCTCCGTCCCTCAGCCCGTCCCTGTCCCTCAGCCCACCTCCGTCCCTCAGCCCGTCCCCGTCCCTCAGCCCATCCCCCAGCCCATCCCTGTCTCTCAGCCCGTCCCTGTCCCTCAGCCCGTCCCTCAGCCCGTCCCTGTCCCTCAGCCCGTCCCCGTCCCTCAGCCCGTCCCCGTCCCTCAGCCCGTCCCTGTCCCTCAGCCCGTCCCCGTCCCTCAGCCCGTCCCCGTCCCCCAGCCCGTCCCCGTCCCTCAGCCCGTCCCCCAGCCCGTCCCCGTCCCTCAGCTGTCTCGCTGCAGGGTTGCCTTGTGAAACGAGCTGGGGAAGGAGCTTTGCTCTGCTCCTCAGACCAGAAATGGTGGGAGCGGAGAAAACCACATTGCCATTGACTAGTAGACCGAAACTGGCAACCTGGACTTGGCGTGTCAGGACAGCACTAAATGAGTTGTGAGCATTAAATGAGCTATTCCTGGTGCCTCACACATGTGGAGTGCTCACTGAAAGCTGGCTGTCCTTAGTCTACCAGCGACATGAGGCAAGAGCATCATAGCCAGAGTCACTCACCCCAGCTGGCCGACCGGGAGCCCCCGCGCGGGCTGCATAGGGAAATGCGCAGGGCTCAGGGACTCCCCACCAGGAAATCTCTCTCCCACACAGTCGCAACCATGCCATGTCCCCTCTAGTTCAAGAATATACAGGTCCCAGATTCTTGTGAGTGTCAACCCTTTTAGAGACGGGGAACCTCGGGAACGGGATGCTACCCTAGCTTTCAGCCCGCTCTCCTGTCCCCAGCCCTGCAGCCTGGCTGCCGTCCTCGCTGGCACCACAGGCTCCATGGGCACTGCCACCCACCTGCCTTGGCTCGCGGCATTCCTGGGGTACACTGGCTTTCTCTTAGGGTGACTATATTCTGTGTCCTCCTGTTCTATGACCATTGCAAGCCTCACCTCTAAGAAGTCACCCCCGGCTCCTGGACTCCCATGGATCACTCTCTTCCCTTCCCCTCGGGAGCTCACTCCACGATCGTGTACTGTTTAGCATGCTGGCTGTGGGTTTGCCTGCCTCCGTCACGTCTTAACACATCCCCTGAACAAGCACAGCACGCCGCCCAGAGCCACAACACGGCGGGCACTTGTGGGCTGAGCCCTGGAATAGGGGCACGTGCACGATGGACTGCAGAGGGCTCGGTGCAGAGGAAATCAGGCGGACATGATTCTGATCCTGGCCACTCCGCAGCTGTGCAGCGAGCTGCACTGAGCATGTTACCCCCTCCGAGCGTCCGTTCCTCTTGGTAAAGAGGAGCTCTGATATCTCACAGGGCCCTTAAATGCGAAGCCTGTATGAAACTGGGCGACCAGCTCTCCTGGTTTGCCTGAAACTGATGGAATTCTGGGACACGAGACGTTCATGGCTAAAACTGGCAGTGTCCCAGGCAAACAGCTGGTCACCCAAATGCAGCCAGCTTGCTGACATACACACCGTGGCATGCAATGAATGCGGTGTCCTCTCCTTTGCAGGTTGTGGAGGGATTAAAAGGGAAAGAAAGGACTTGGAAACTTGCTGTCAGGCCCAGGCTAATGGCACCCCTCCCTTTATTTCCCCCTCCACCCACTGCCCTTACTTTGCTATTTGCCACCTGGTACTGGGGCTGCTATTAACCCAGCCACCACGGGAGCGCTCACAGGGGCAGGAGCTAGGCAGTGGGGGGTGGGGGGCAGGCCGGACAGATGGAGGCCTCAACAGGCACAGGATTTGGGAGCCCACTGTATGTAGGCTTGGCTCAGATGCTGGAGAGAGGGGCAGAGGGAGCCCACCTCCGTGAAGCCCGCACTGGTTTTCCCTGTGCAGACATCCACTAAGGACACCATGTACTTACATTCTCTCTTCTGTCTGGTGCCCATGAATGCCTGCAATGAGTTAGAGCAAAGAAAAAGAACTGAGTGTGGAGAATCTCAAAGAGCCTACTTTTGAATATAGATCATTTCACTTAATCTAATAATGAGAAATCAAACCCACTGAGCCATGATTAAATGGGAAGCAAAAACCCCCCGAAAAAACCCAGCAGCAAAGCCAGGGGAAGCAGCAGAGGAGGGTTGGTGACTCAGTGTTCTGTCATCGTTGCAAGCTGAGCTAGGCAAGCCTTTATTCTGTTCAGCTACCGCAGCGAATCCTTACAAATAAAAACGGTTAGTCAGCAAACTAACTCTCTAGTAGCTATTAAATTCCAGTGAATGGGTCTTTCACCAAGCAAATGGGAGCATTTTAGGTAACGTTCTCCTTTGCTGATAGTGTTGAAACAGCCATCTCCGGGGCTCACCCTTCGGGTGAAGGGAGACAGCTGGAAAATGCTGCTGCTTTGGGACTTGGCCCAGATGCGCGAGCTCGTCGGCAGATTTGGTGACAGCTGCCTGGAGTGACATCAGGCAGCTGTGCGCAGGGGCCTGCATCCCGTCCTCCTCAGAGACGGGGAGGGGAGGACAATGTGAGGACTGGGTGCCTCACCTGCCACCCCACCCCGGGTTTATTTAAAATTCCTATATTTTGTTCATTATGATTTTTTTTTTTTTTTTTTGCATTCCTCTTGATCTTTAAAAATATCCCATTAAAATGTTAACTCAGCCCGGCCGGTGTGGCTCAGTTAAAGGTCGCTGGTTCGATTCCCAACCAGGACACATGCCCAGGTTGTGGGCCCGATCCCCAGTGGGGGGCATGCAGGAGGTGGCCAATTGATGTTCTCTCTCATCCATGTTTCTATCTCTCTCTCTCTCCCCCCCCTCCCTCCCTTCCTCTCTCTCTAAAATCAATAAAGAAAAAATATATTTAAAAAAAAAATTTTTTTTAACCTCACCCCAGGACATTTTTTTGCATTTATCTTCAGATAGAGCAGGAGGGAGAGAGGGAGGAAGAGAGAGAGAGAGAAACATCGACACAAGAGAGACACATCAACTGGTTGACAACCGCAACCGGCGCCGGGGACAAACCGCAACCTAGGTTCACGCCCTTAGCAGGAACCGAACCTGGGTCTCTCTGGACCGTGGGCCGACATTCTAACCGCTGAACCACACCGGCCAGGGCTAAAAAAATTTTTTTTAAATAAAATGTTAACTCAGCCCTGACCAGTTTGGCTCAGTGGTTAGAGTGTCGGCCCGAGGACAGAAGGGTCAAGGATTTGATTCCTAGTCAAGGGCACACACCTGGGTTGCAGGTTTGATCCCCGCCCTGGTCAGAGCGGTGTGGGAGGCAGCCAATCTCTCTCCCTCTCTCTCTTTCTCTCTCTCTCTCTCTCCCTCCCTCCCTCCCTCTCTCCCTCCCTTTCTCCTTTTCATTCTCTCTAAAAACAATGGAAAGATATCCTCAGGTGAGGATTAACAAAAAACAAACAAACAAAAAACGTTAACTTGATCACTGAGGTTTTTGGATGCACCGCAGCCCTGGCCCAGGTTGAATCCTCACACTAGCTGAGCAGGGGTCAGAGTTATGACTTTGGATCATTCAGATACACAGAAGGAACCCTGGCTGTGTCCTCAGTAAGCAGTAGGGTTGGGCCTGACCCCACATGCAGTTGTGCCGTTTGGTAACTGGGCCCCCAAACTTCCCAGCCAAGTGAGCAGTACCAGAGCAGACCGGTACTCTGCTGTTACACAACGTGGTTGGCAGTGAGGAAGGCACGCTTGGCGACCTGCAGAAATAACTCTTATTTCCTCCCTGCTTTCTGTTTGGAAACAGGAAATGCCAGGTCCAGTTCCCATGCCCTGTGACGGAAGCAGAACACAGCCACGAATGTGACTGGTTGAGGACAGGGTCTCCCCAAATGGCAGTCACACCCACACTCCCGAGTAAGCGTCTCTCCACTCCTTTCTTGGCTAGATCGCTATTTTCTTCTTCAGTGGTTCTCAACCTTCCTAATGCTGCGACCCTTTAATACAGCTCCTCATGTTGTGGCGACCCCCAACCATAAAATTACTTTTGTTGCTACTTCATAATTGTAATTTTGCTGTTATGTCTTAGGCGACCCCTAGGGTCGTTCAACCCCCAAAGGAGTCGCGACCCACAGGTTGAGAACCACTGTCTAAGGGACCCTGAGACTTTCCATCCGACCGAAGGGGCCTGACCATCCCTCCACCGTGGTGGCAAACGAGCCACTCCTGCCCGGAGGGCCCAGGATTCCGGTGCCTGCGGAAGCTGCCACTAGACAGGTGGTTGGGGGCATCCCCACCAGTGACAAGCTCAAGCAACAAAAGATGGTTACTTTGGCACAGGTGGCTTCTTCCCTGGCAGGGGGCTGTTTCTTTCATGCCTTTCCGTGGTTGGTGGCAAAGGAGGCTTTTGTATCTTGGGTAAGTGCTCCCCGAGAGGCCTGCAGAGTGGAGAGGGAGGATGTGTGAGACACAGACCAGAGTCCCCAGGCAGGCCGTGCCCCTCCCGCAGACACCACGGAGAGCTTACCTTCCTGCTGGGGTCGGGGGCTGCAAGACAGGAGGGAGGGCACGTGAGTGGACTCAGCACTTGTCAGAGAACGAAGACACGATACGAGACACGGCACACACGAAAGCACACGCAACCCGGCAGGAAAACAGCTTACCTTGTCGGAAAACACCGGTTTCTTCCCTGTAAATGACAAACAGCAGGTGGGCCTTGCGTTCTGGCCTCTCAGCTACGTATAGGCCTTAAAGCATAGCTGGGGGAAGCCACGACCCGAGAACCGGGGGACTGACCGGCCTCGAGCCACGAAGAACCGTAGAATCTGGACCTGATTCTATAGGCTCAGAGAAATGAAGTGACTTGCCCAAGGTCACTCACGGCATTGTGCGCATACGACCAGTATTCCAGATTCTGTGCTTCTTTTCCACAGTTTATGTTAGGTAACAGATGATGGGAAGGATTGAGTGTCTTTGGGGGTTTTATACCCCTTTCACTGGTCGAGAGGTTCTTGGTAAAAGCCTAAGTTTATGTGTGTGTCTGAGATAAACCCATCTGCCACAGAGAGGTTAATTTTCCTCTCGTCCTTTGGTGCATTTGACATTATATAAAGTATTATACTCAGTTTCTGGAAAAAATTTAACGTGGGAAAGACGGTTTCAGAAGATTCTGCTGATGGGCGTGGAAATCATTGTGTTTGGGGTTTTGTTGGCTGGTCTTTCCCTTCCTTCTTTCCTTCCTTCCTTCCTTCCTTCCTTCCTTCCTTCCTTCCTTCCTTCCTTCCTCCCTCCCTCCCTCCCTCCCTCCCTCTCTTTCACTTTTCCCACGGAGCAGATAGCTTGCAGGCTCCTTGAGAAATGCTGGTGTGCCTGAGGACTCCGCATTACAAAATTCATCAAAGTCACAGATTCGTCATTGTGTCTGCGTCCCCCGGAGCAGAGCTGCCCCAGGTCTTCAGTGTGCTCCAAGCATTACTCAGCTGCACTCGAGCAGGTCTAGAAGCACCTCCTGTATGGCCCTGGCCAGGTTACTGAAGGTCTTTGAGTCTCAGTGTCCTTGCCTGTAGAATGGGGCTGTGGGTGAAAAGTACACGGGTTTGCTGTAGGAACCAAGCGACACTGGATACGGAGGGTCAGGCCCGCGATCCCTGTCAGACAGCTCGACTTTCTTCCCTTCGCCCTCCTGCTCAGGTGCCACCCTGAGTGGATGGTGAAACGGTCCACCTGGGGTTGCATCTGGGCATGACTTGTTTTCTGAAGACTGAGTACATGCCAGGCCCACAGTGGGGCCTGAGAATCTTGTCCCACGGTGAAGAGCTCACTGCCTAGTCGTGGGAGAGTTTTGGTGGTACAAAAAAAAAAAAAAGGTTTATTATTCATAAAACTGGTTTGGAGTGAAAACCCCACTTTAGAGGAATAACCAGAAATCCTAGATTTGTATCTCTAGGCCTGAATATATTTTTCCTTTAAAAAAATCTACTGATTCATGCACCTTCTCTGAGCTATGAGGAGTCCCCTGTGAACACGCTGAGATGTGCAAGAGGACACTCAGAGGTAGAACTGGTATTGTCAAGAGAAAGGTCTCTTCGTAATGCAAAGATCTTTTCAAAGGTTGGCTTGAGCTCGGAAGGCGAAGGGTTTGATGTCAGTGTCTCCTCTGTGCAGCGCTGGCTCGCAGCAGGACTGCAGTCTGAGGTCAGCATCTCTGTTCGCTTTCATGTAATTCACACGGCCCTCAGCAGTGGACCCTCGGAACCCAAACAGCGACCCCGCCTTGCAGGAGTCAGCAGAGCTGAGACGCCCTTTCAGGAGAACAGCAAGCGGCAGCCCTGAGTCCGAAAACTGACAGTCATTTGCCAACAGCAGAGGAGACGGAGGCCGCAGGAGGTTAGTGCCTCGCTCAGGGTGCAGCTAAGAAAGGGCTGGGTTTCCAGGCTCTCTATCCCTCCAGGCTCGGGGCTCCTTCCCCAGACTCTCTAGTCCACAGGAAAAAAATCCGGAGTCTTCGGTGGCAGGAGGATGTGGTGGACAAGAGCACCCACTTTGAAGTCAGAAAGGCATGGGTTCAAATCCCGTACCTAGTTGTATGAATTTGGGGAAGTTATTCAGCCTCTCTGAGCCTCAGTTTCATCATCTGCAAAGTGAGGATCGTAACGCACCCCCTTTGTTGGGTTGGCGTGAGGATTAGAGATAACGTAGGCAAGTTATTATAGTAGGCAAGTTATTATAGTAGGCAAAGCACACCTATTATAGTAGGTGTTCATGAAATGGTAGCTAAGTTTTAGAACTGAATTGAAAATAGCTTCATGGGGAGGTATCTGCAATCCAAGAATAGTCTGGGTCAGTTCTGGGGGGAAAGGAATGTTGTATATCCACAGTTTGGTCACCTGCACACGTACAACAGAAATATAACCCTGCCATTTGAATAGCACGTTAGCGTTTTATAAAGCATTTCCTCCTCACAGAACACCCATCCTACACATAAGGAGATAGCTCTGAAAACAGTAAGGTCCCTGTGGCCAGTGAGCTGCTCAACCAAGGTGGCTGATGACAGGTCTCCCAGACCTCCTGTCTCTCCCTCCGCACCACGATGCCACCTGCATGGCCCTCGGGGAGGACAACGAGATGGTGTAACAGGTGGCCCGGTGGAGAAGCAGGCCCAGCACAGGGCTAAGGCAGGAGCTCTGCATCGGGCTGAGCTGGGTTTGGGTCTCTACTCGGTAGCTGAGTGATCTTGGGAGGTTGCCTCTTCATGCCTCAGTTTCCTCCTCTGTAAAATGAGGATGTTTCTAATAGCCCCCACTGCGTACTGCTGTGGTGTCAGTTTGATGAGACGGTGTGTGTGAAAAGCATGCAGAAAGCACTCTATAAATGCTGGCCATTGTCATTACGCACCAAACACAAATGATACCGACCTAGTGTGAAGGGCTCTCTGTCGAGTGGCGCTAATGACCGATCGAGGGGGGGCTTCGTGCTTCTGTCTATCGAAGGCGGGGGGACTGGAAGGACAAGACCGAAGTCAGTTCAAAGAAGAATGGGGTTGGCTGGGGGTGGCACGGGGGAGGGGCGGAGAGAGCAGTACTTACGCTTTGCTGTTTTGTGGGTTCTACTTCTGCTAGGCTCTTCCTGGTTGGGCTGGGGTGTGGGGAGTGGCTGCTTGGGAACAAACAAGCGTTAGGAAGTATTTGCAACACATCCGCAGGTCCTGGTGGCTGTCTCTCTCCAAATATGTCTGAATCTGGACACTTTTCTCCACGTCCATGCTCCACCCACGAACATACATCTCCAGTTCCCGCCTGACAGTATCCTCCCATCTGCGCCCCCTGTTCTGCCCGTTCTCCCCCAAGGTGACTTCCGCAGGGCTGGGGGTAAGCTCCTCTGATCAGCCTGTTAGCGGCTCCTGTCCCCTTGGACACGGTGGGCACTCAGCACGGCGGCAAGGCCCTGCCTGACCTGGCTCCCGTCCGCTCCTGCCGGCTGCTTCCCCCAGGGCGCCTGGGCTCCTCGACGTCTTCCTGCCCCAGCTCCTGCCCTCATCGGCCTCTCTAACCTCGTGTTTCTCTCTGCCTGGAACGTTCTTCCCAGCTCTCGGCATGACTGGCTCCCTCTGTCCGACTCAATGTCCCCTCCCCACTCATCATCACATTCCTGGGCCTTCTGTCTCCCTAACCACACACTACCACTCAAACGGTCTTGTGCATACGTCTGTTTACTGGTATATTATTTGTATCCCCCTAACCAAAGAGGAAGGTCATGAAAGCAGGGACCTTATTTGTCTTGTTCACGCCCTGTTCCCAGCAGCTAGAACACGGCTGGGCCCACAGCAGCCGCTCAATACATTGACTGAATGAGTCAATTCTATATCCCGACAGTGGAGTTTGCAGCCTTCAGATTTCGAAAGCAAAACGCATTTGTAGAGCAGTTCAGCTCCGCTGAGCCCCCTTTGCAAGAAAGCTGCACAAGCAGGAGGGAGCCAACCATTCCGGGGTGGGAGGTCCTGGCTGCGGCACGGTCCCTCCTCCAGCCCTGGCCCTTGGGCATTTGCCATAGCTGTCAGAGTGCTCAGGTCCCTCAGGAAGAGAACACACTTCCAGCTAGTGACTGCTTATCCTGATCTTCTCGGGGTGCTCTGGGTACAGTGACCGGGGGGCTGTAAGTCTGGAGAAAGGGGAAAGGGAGTTGCTGCCTCTCGTGCTTCCTGGGTTCACTGAGCCGGAAACCTTGTAGTCTCCAGGCTTTTGCCCGTGGAATTTCCGGCATTGGCCAGCAGGTGGCACGTGTCTTTTTTACAGGAGAGAGAAGGTGACTTGGGACTGACTCTGGGGATACCAGCAGGTGCTTTGACTTAACTCATTTCTCTTGGAGTACATCTTACAGGTTTCACTGATTTCAAAAGTGGGAGACTCTTGTTATACAATTAGTTTATATTGTTTATAGTAAGAAGAAAATACCAATTGCACTTTAACGTGAATAAAAATCACTAATATTTCACCCCCCAAAAAACAAAGACCACACGACACTTGAGTACTCGGGTATGCATTTCCCAGCTTGCACATAATCTGGTCTTACTGGTTAGGATGAGATGAAGATGTTCAGTGACTTCTTTTCTCTCTGGCAGAGGAAATGTTTGGGGGAAGGAGCAAGGGGGCCTACCGTGTGGCTCCGGCTGGCCGGCGGGGGAGGCAGGGCGGCCATCGGTCTTTGGGGGGGCACGGGCGGCTGCTGTGGGGATTTCCCGGAGAGGGGACGGTCTGGAAAACACAAGCACATTAAAAAGAAAGGAGAAACGCTGAACCGAAGCGAGTGGGCGCCATGCTCAGGGTTTTCCGGGCATCACCCAGTTCTGTGCGTCTCACAGGCTCCCACCAGCACCAAGGCCAGCGCTGGCGGTGGAAGGGATGATGTGTCCATACCTGGGTGACACACGGTGGGGAATCAGACACACGTACACGCACAGGCACACCCAGCTGCCCGGGCAGGGTTAAATCGACACTCACGGCTCGTGGAGATCCTGTCCTGGGTTCCCTTTCTTCCCCTCGCCAATGCTCTGGGCTGTTCTGGCCCCTCCTACTTCCTCCTTTTGCTCATCTCTTCCCTTAAAGGGAAGAGCTGGTCTTCAACTCCTGTCACCAAATCACAGCTCTTACCTGGTCAGCTAGGGCTTACCCTGGCTAGCAACTCACCCTTTCCTGGTCACTACAGAAGTATCCCTGAGCCCTCTGACAGAAGATGCCAGGCCGGGACTGAGCGCTGGCCTCCCTACACTTTGTGCCCTGGGTGCCTCTCTTGCCGCATGCTCGTCCCAGCCCTCGAGAGGCATTGCCGTCCATGGAGAATGGGGCTTCGACTTCGGCAGGACGGGTCTCTCTCATGCCTCTCCACCCACCTGGCCTTCTCTCAGCGCCTCCACTATGCCACACTCCTAAGACCTCAGGCCCTTTGCACGGCCTTTTCTACTACTAAGAATGCTCTTCCTTTCCCACGTCTCTCCTCACTCAGTCTCGCCCCTACTCACCCTTTAACTTTCAGCTTAAATATCACATCCTCAGGGAATCAAACCCAGACTAGGCATACACCCCAGCCTCAGCTCCCACACTTGTCTTCTTGAGTATATATCATGTTTTCTGAAATCATTTGGTGACTCATTCATTGGATGTTGCCTCACCCACTGGACTATGAATTCTTTTAAAAAAAAAAGGCTGTCTTGTTCACTCTGGATCTTCATAGCTGACACAACTCAACAACTTAGTTATCTAGTTCTTCTCTGGGCCTCAGTTTCCCTGTGTATGAAAAAGAGTTGATAATTGTTGCCCTTATCACACAGAGTGCTTCAAAACATAACATAAAATGTTGGCTTTGAGTTTATGAAAGGGCTTTACAGCTACAGTGTTGTGCAGCTGAAGGATTGATGGTAGTCATTGTCTGTGATACTGACGCTGTTTTCTGGCTCGGTCCTTGCCATTCTATGATACAGGTGCGGGCATGCTAACTTCCTATCACCGCCCCTACCAGAGGGAGACCCTGTGAGGCAAGGCTGATGTCTTCTTTCCAGGCAATTTGGACTTTCAGCATTTAGAACAATGCCCGGCTCATGCTAGGAGATCAGTGATTTTTGTTGAATTAATGAATGAATAAGTGAGAAATGGGCTGACAGACACAGCGATACAGGGAAAATCTTAAATGCTGTCTAAAATGATTGGAAGCGATGGTCAAAGCCCACTCAATATGGTTCTGTTTATTCTGGCAGTCTGTGGGTAGTTGTGCCACACAACTATGAGTTGGTCCAAAATATTGGGAAGAAGCAGGAAAGCACTCTTGACTCTAAGTAACACACAAAATGAGTACTGCTGCCAAGTACCCCCAAGTGGCAATTCAATGCTGGTATCAGCCATCACACACCACGGTTTGTCTGCAGTATTGACAGTCCTCACGGCAAACATATGTGGTCTGTACTATTATGATCCTATCTCACAGATGAGGAAACTGAGGCCCAGAGAGGTGGAGTCACTTGCTCACCGCTGGCATCAGCACATACAGCCTCCTACATGGGCATCAACCTCCTTGCACCAGTGGGGGAGGGGGCCGGCCTGGGCTGCCAGGGCCCTTACCGATGTACATGGAGTTGGCGTTGGCGAACGGCTTGGCAGGCAGGATGGAGTTCTGCAGAGCTTCCTCGTCGTTGGAGGGTGGCGGCTCATAGTCGGCGTCGTCTTCCACGGGCGCCTCGTCCTCCTCATTGGGGGACTCATAGTCGCCATCATCCTCCCCATCGTGATCCTCGTTGGGACTCTCATAGTCATCTTCTTCCTGCCAACAGCGACAGCGACGACAGTTTGTAGGCGCGCCTCGGCCCCCACCGTGCCCGTCTGCTCTCTCTGCCGAGCTTCACCGTGGTACTCGCTTGGGGACAGAAGGGTCACTCCCATTTTACAGAGGAGAACACTGAGTTTAGGGAGTGCAGTATCACAGGGCCAGCAAGTCGTAGACTTGGGACCTCCATCAAGGTCTTCAGGCCACGAGGCCTTTTCCTCTGCACCATTTTGCACCAGCGAGACCAGCAGAGTCGAGGACATGGGAACAGAGGGCTGGGGGACCTGGCTCTGTTTTAAGCAAACACATTTTTTACTCCGGTCATCGCCAAGAGGAAGACCCAAGGCCTGGAGCATCTGTGATGCCCCCAGTTCACTGTGGGTTCTGTTCATTGTCGATGCCTATGCTCCAAAGAGGCTTTCTCATTGCAAGCCCGTGCGGCGCTGCAGGCCAGCTAACGGGAAGCAGATAACCCCGCCTGTCGATTAGAGGGCGGACTGTGTGTCTTAGAGGTTCTTTTTGGCGGAGGGCTGCGTGTGCAGAAGCAACAGCGCATTGTCCACAGCCTCTGCCACTGCAGGTGAAGCTGCTGTCTTGGAAAGACTCTTTCTCCGTGTTAACGTTTCATTGTATTTCATGTGTGTTTCTTTGTGGGTGTCAGGAAAGTTGGCCCTAGGGGCTGGGTGATTGCCTTGAAGCAGTCCACGAAAGTGGACAGTCACAGGGATAATGTCCCCAGCAGAGGGGCCACCGTCAGCTGCCCAGCAGAGTGGCTTGTCACTCTCGTGCCAAGGTCAAGGGCAATGAGCGAGCTCAGGGCATTTCTCTGCAGTTAAGGGCAAAGAAGCAACAGGAGGTTGCCACCGAGTGAGGAAAGACACGCAGTGATAATCTGGAGGTCCTGACAGCTTAGCGGGGTGGCTTGAGGAAGACTAAGGTGTTCCACTAAAAGATTCCTGTGTGTTGCCCTGGCCAGTTTGGCTCAGCGGTTGAGCGTCGGCCTACGGACCAAAGAGTCCCGGGTTCGGTTCCCGCTGGGGCATGTACCACAAAAGAAAAAAAGATTCCTGTGTTGATTTTTGACTTGAGGAGTATTTAAAAAATATATATTGGAAGGCAAAGTGAGGGTTGAGTGTCTTCCTGAATGCTGAAGAAGACCTGTCCTGTCATCGGTGTTCCTGGGGGGAGGGGAATGGAACCCGTGCCAACAGGAGTGCAGAACAGCGGCATGAGCCCTCTCCGGCTCTGGCTGACGGTCCCTCCGGCTGGCGCAGACATCCCTAGGTCCTCTCGGCCTGCCCACTCAGGCCTATTGCTCCTGACTTCCTGCCAGGACTTTATCCCATAAGCCCTTTTTTCTTTCTTTCTTTTTAAAAATGTTTTTATTGATTTTTTAGAAAGAGAAACATGGATGTGAAAGATACATCCAGCAGCTGCCTCCTGCACGCCCCCTACTGGGGATGGAGCCCACAACCCGGGCATGTGCCCTGACCAGGAATCGAACCAGGACCTCTCAGTCCACGAGATGATGCTCAATCCACTGAGCCACACTGGCCAGGTCATAGGCCTTTTTCAACAAAAGACTTTTCCTCTCTGCTTCTAGAATAATTATTTCTCCCAGTGATCTGGCTCCTGGACATCTGTGTTCCTGACCATACTCTGCCGTGGGCATGTTGTCCACGCGGTAAAAGGCTCACACGTTTGGGTCCTTTATCTCCACCCCAAACCCCTAGTGCCCTGTGCCAGGCTGGGCATGACATCGAAGCCCTGAGTTTGACGGCCAGCAGTTGAGGGAAACCCCCTGTTTATACTCAGGCAGGGCTGGGGAATGTCTGGCCCTTGGAAGCAATACCAGCCAACATCACACGCCTCACCAAATTAGCCTGACCACATAGAGCAGGCTAATTTTTAAGTTGATGATTTTGTACGGCCCACGAATGATATTATAAATATCCAAAGGGCCCTTGGCAGAGAAAAGGTTCCTCACCCCTGGTTTATAGAGAGGAATGCTAGACGAGCCTCGGGCTGAGCCCCAGGGGACACATCACAGCGCGGCAGGGCAAGGCATCCGAGCGAGTGTGTAAAACGGATAGATGGGCTCCGACCACCATGGAGCCTTAGCCAGGGTCTAGCTCCATGCGCTGACGTTTGTGCGTAAGGGGTGAGGGTGTGCAGAGCACATTACGGTCTCAAAGGGATCACTGTGACCCCTCAAATATAAAACCCGGCTGGAAGGGACCCTCCCTCAGGTCTTTTCAGGGCTAACGGTTGATCCTGAAATCCTCTTCCTACTGTTTCACCAGCGGGGACATATGTGCCTGAGAAAAGCTAGTTAAAGGTAATTTAATGTAGGAGAGGGGTTGCGGGAAGGCCCTACTATGGGTGGTAGTGGTGGGTGATGGTGTGGTCTGCAAACCACAGCCCACGGGCCAAGCTTGGCCCACATCTGTGCTCTGCAGAGAGGGCTGGGGTGCAGCCGCGCAGAGGAGGTGAGACAGAGGCCACGTGGGTGGCAGAGCCGAGAATATTGACCGTCTGGCCTTCACACACACTGCCGGACCCGCGGGTGGGTGTCCTGGCTCCTCACCACCAAGCCACTCTGAACGCTGGGAGAGCAGCCCAGCCGTACTCACAAAGGACGACCAGCCGCCGTTGTCTTCCTCGTGGCTTTCTGCGGACGAGAGGACACTGCCGTGAGTACCCACGCAGCCCCCAGAAAGGAAAGCGGCACTCCCCCGAGGTGCCTCCGTGCCACTGCCCAGGCCGCCCTCCCACCTCTGCACCCCTGAGGGTCAGCCCTGCTCTACGATGGCAGCGGGGTCCTAACCTGCCCCGTGTCTGGAAGTCACCGAGAGTGCTTCAAAGAACGTGCCATGTAACAGTTGAAAACCGCTTTGCACACTCAGAAGCCTGGGGCTGACTCCACCCAGGTGCTCAGCCAAAGCCTGGCTTCTTCCATACCCACCCCAGAGTCCCTCACTGTGATTCTGTAGAGGGTCCCGGCTGAGCAGGGGCCGCAAGCTAAGTGCCCTGCAGAGTGACATCTCTCCTCCCCTCCGCTGAGGCCCGAGCCCTGTTCTGGGGGAGACCTGACTGACAGGCAAATAATCAAGGCCGCCTGCATGCTCCCCAGGAAGCCCTAGCAAGCAGTACCTGTCCCCTCTGAAAGCCACCTCTCACCCCCGAAGCCTTTACCTGTTTCTTCAGGAAACCGTGGGACTTGGGGTCTGCAAAGGCAAACAGCATTGCATCAACGGCCTTACCGACTTGGGGAGCCCCCCCCCCCTCACTCCCACCTTGCAGGAAGATCCCCCAGCAGAGATCATGTCTCACCACCTGGGACTGGTGTCCCTGTTGCTTAGCAACCAGGGCCAGACTGCTCCCAAATTCTAAACACCACCAAGCCTACATTGGTGGTGCCCGGGCAGCGTGTGAGCCTGACTGTCCAGGGGAAGTTCCCCTGACGACGTGGACCCAGGGCAGGGTACAGGGTAGGAAGTGTGAACACCCCCACTCCCGGGCACCCGCTTCGAGACCCCCAGACCGCAGGGACACTGATCGCACGCTGGGCCGAACCAGGTCCGCGCCTCCCCTTCGAGGCCTGACTCGGGTTGGAAATTCTGCAGCGTGCTGGCCCACTCACTTGCGCGGTGCGAAAATGCTCCTCCTCTCTTCGTTCCTGTTGATTTCTTGACTTAACTTACTGAGAATCCTACAAGAGGAGGTACAGGTAAGGCGACGAAACCGTCAGACCCCAGCCTTCCCGCGCACACCTCATGTTCCTTGACCACTGGACCTTGGGCACCTGGGCCAACCGCCAGCAGCCCCTCCTCTGGCCGCCAGCCAGTCCCCACAGGCCTCCGCTCCTCACTCCCTCCCAGAACGTGTCCCTTCGTGGCCCTGCCAGCCCTTGCTCCCGGGAGCCCTCGTGTCTGCCTCTGCCTCCGTCTCCCGAGGACTTGCAGGCTCACATGGGCTCCCCTTCCCTGGAGCCTGCAGCCTAGGCGTGGCCACCGCCGCCGCTTGCTTCATTGTGTGAGCACGCCTGGGCCGCACATGCCCTGGCGGTGATGTCTGGCTCCTAGGAACCTCCAAATCCCCTCTGAGAAGCAGCTGCTCGTTGTGTGACGTTGGACAAGACCTCCAGGGACTGGGGCAGCTGGGAGGGGCCTGGGAGATGGTCTCATGTCATTTTACAGATGGCCCAGACAAATGAAGGGACGGCCCACCTGTGGGCTAGTGACGAAGGCTACCCTCTCCCCACAACACAGAAGCCAGGCTCCCCAATTTTCAGGCCAGCACACTTAACACGCCACATCCTATGTTCACGCCCGTTAGCAGGACACTAGGAGTCCTTGGCCCATCTGAGAAGAACCTGGGATCCACATTCTTTCTGTTAAGTGACTGTCTCAAGGTAACAAGTTTGGCCTAGAACAAAATTGCTACATTGGCAAAGGCAGTGCTTAGCTCCCACCGCTTCCTGCTTCTCCAATGACCACGATCCTCCCAGGCCCGGACCCCTGCTTCTCCATGCTCCCAGGGAACACCCGCCCCACACCCGCCCCACACCCGCCTCCCTCATTAGATTGACAGCCAGGCTCACGGGATCCAGGCAGTGGGGATTTAGGAGGACAGAGGAGAGAGGGCAATGTTTCATCCGCAGACACAGTGTCATTGTTGGAATGTCACCCTTCACTGACTGCCCGGGGGAGATGCTTAAGAGCACACTGGGGCTTCCCAGGGCCTTCTGACGTATTACCTGTGACGTGTGTCACATGGCTCTTTTTTCAGTGATTATTTTGAGAAGCTAAGAGGAGCCCCCCTCCTCCCTCCTCTGACTTGAGGGATGGAAGGATTCCTACAGAAGGAACCCCAGCAGGGAGCTCTGGTGTCCTGCACCATGGCCAGGTTGGAGGTCGGGGAGCTGTAGACACTCCCACTTGGTGCCCCCCTTAATCAACAACGTGCAGTCCCTTCCAAGTGCCAGGACCCACCTGGTGCTCAAGGCCAGCACACAAAATAAAGATCCCTGCTGTCAAGGACCTTGCAGACCAGTTGAGAGACAGACAATGAATAATAAACATTTACGGAAGTGAAATTCTAGATAAGAACCGTGTATACAAACATGCCACAGTGGCAGGGGACCGGGGTGCATGGGAGGAGCGTGGTGCAATTGACAATGATCGGGCCTGGGTGCTGAGATGACATTTCAGCAGTGACCTGAAGAAGGAGGGGCTGGGCCACACCTCACCGCCCCCGCCGCGCCTCACCCCCATCTGGGCTCTGACGGGCTCACAGAGCCGCTTCAATCCTGAAAGGACCCCTTGCTCTCTGAGGTGTTGCTTCTCACTGTATCTTTAGCAGCCAGGCTGGAGGCTAAGGAAGGAAATGCCAAACCACAGGCCCCCAGCAGAGGAGAAGCAGAGCTGAGAGCGCAGAGCAGGGCCTGCTGTTACGGTTTGCAGCAGAACTTGGGTTCATGGGTCCTCCCCATTCAGCAGGCCTCCGAGGACACCTTCCTAGCCCCTGGGACCACACTAGGGAGCGAGTGGACAGGGCCGGAAGGCGGTGGCTACCTCTATATTCAAACCTCCCGTGCTCCCAGAGGACCAAGTGACAGTGAGTGGCCGGAGGTGACTCATTCCCCCTCCTTCCCACAAACCTCAGGCCTCATGCAGAACCAGGGAGCAAGGCGGAGGGGGCTGGGTAGCTGGTGGACATAGTTCGTTGCTTTGCCTCGTTTTAGGGATTAACTGGTGCAGGGAGAGGGCCTAAAACTCCCAACAGGAAGCCAGGCCATTGCAACAGGGTAGAATCCTGCCACGCCGGGTTTTACCCCCGCTGCGCCCTCAGCTTGCTGCATGGTGGGGGGCCTAGCCTGACTTCTCAGTCAAAGGCTCTCCTGGTGACGTTAGAAACAGAGGACGAGTCCGCACCCAGAGTCTGACTGCAATGTCCTGCCCGGGGCCGAGTCCGTTCTATAACCTTGGACAAGGGCAAGACATCAAACCTCCATATAAATTTAAATATAAAACACGTTTTTAAAAAAATAATTTCCCAGCAGGCATCAGCAGACTTGCACATGTAACCTACCGGTTTCCCCAGCTCCTGCTCAGCTGTGCCTTGGTTTTGAGCTGGGCCCTCTATACGGAGCCTCCATTTTTCCATTTCAAAACCATCTCCCATTACAGAAATCCGGGGTGTCTCTGGGAGAAACTATGTCCCGGGAGAATGACAACATCTGCAGACAGAGAAAGCCCTGCTCACCAGAATCCACATTCTGAGAAAACCTGTCTAACACTGATTTCTTTCAATCATAGGGGAAGGAAATAAAGAGATTCAGAGGAGGGGAAGGAACCTTGTTTTGGTCTACTGCACATGGACACAGTTCATTCTTCACAGCCCTCTCGGGCAATGACGCTGCTAAATTAACCTACGAACAAGGGATTGGAATAAGTATTGACTACTGATATGTGTCAAGGGCAGCACCAGGCAACTGTGTGGGCTGCCTCCTTGAAAATCCACTGCTCCCCGAGTGTTAGTTCTCCCCCCGTGTAGAGGATGAAACCGAGGCCTCGAATATTAAAGTGACTGCCCCAGTGGTCCAGAGCTGGGAGGGGGCAGAGCTGGCTTTAGAACCTGGCTTTTCCTTGCTCCGAAGTCCATGCCTTTCTACTCTTTCATTCTCCCCCTTGACCAGGGTAGAATAATTAGTAAAAATTTGATATTGTGCTCATGGGGATTTTGCACAAAATACGAATAGCTAACCCTTCTTTCATGCATTTTATAATTTCCCCATTATTTCTTCTAACTTCCCTACTGACCCTTTGAGGTAGATTCTCTCAACACTCTTTCCTTTGGACTTTAATTCCACCTCCATTAAGCTGTTGGAAGTTTCCTACAGTTCCCAATGTTTCATTTTGGGATAGTTTCTGTTGCTGTGTCTTCATGTTTGCTAATGCTTTCTTCTGCAGTGTCTAACCTGCTGTTAATCCCAAGCAATGCATTTCTCATTCAAGACATTTTAGTTTTTATCTCTAGAAGGTTCTATTTGGGTCTTTTTTTATTTCTCATGCCTCAACTCAAGTTTTTATTAGCATATGGACTACAGTTATATTGCCCTCTTCTGCCAGTTCTAGTGTCTATATCAGTTATGGGTCAGTTCTGATGCATTGGTTCTTCTCCTCCTTGGAGGCCATACTTTCTGCCTATCTGTATACCTATTCCTCTCTGATTTGATGCTTCACATTGTGAATTGTACTTTTTTGAGTGATGGATGTTTTGTGCATTCCAATAAATATTTCTGAGCTTTGTTTTGGGATGCAGTTAAGTTACTTGGAGGCAATTTAAATTTTTTTCAGTCTTGCTCTTAAGATTCTCTAGGTAGGGACAGACATTTTTTAGACTAGTGCTAATTATCCCCCATTACCAAGGCAATGTCTTCCAGTGCCCTCTACCTAATGACTATGAATCTGAAGATTTTCCAGTCTGGCTGGTAGAAACAAGCAAAATGTCCAGCCCTGTGGTTGGATGCTATTACCTCCAATGGTGAGTGGTTCTTTTCAGGTAGTCTCCATATATGCCTACACTGATTGGAAGTCTGCTGGAGGGGGACCCCTGCAGTTCTCCAGGACTCTTTTCTCAGTGCAGCTCTGTCTTCTCTGATACCTATTCAGTGAACTCAAGCCTTCTTGACCCTCAGCCCTGTATCTTCAACTCAAGGAGTTCAACAAACAGCACCTGTGTTTCCCTGTGTTCCCAATGTTTGTCATTGCCAGAAGACTCCCTCAAAGCAGGGAACACTCCTGGAGATCACCTCATTTGCTTTCCATCTCTCCTTGTCTGATGTCCCATGTCTTCAAAACTGCCACTTCATATATTTTGTCTGGTTATTTGGTTATTTTTGTCTGGTCTTGTTATTTCTTGTTGGTTATAAAGCCAAAATGTCCATTCATAGGATAGAAATGACTAAAGGACCTTAGGGAGTGGTGGGGACTGTGGTGAACTGGGGAGCACACACTCCATCTAAACAGTAGACACTCCGATTCAGCTGTGCCCACAATCTAGCAGAAGCCCTGGATTACCAAAGCTTCCATTTGTTTCTAGAGAAGCTGGGTTTTGTAAAACATCCTTTGATTTTAAAACACAGTGTGAATCAGACCTACCATGTCTGCAGCCTGGCTCTGGTCTACCAGAGACTAATTCTGACCCCTGTGTGTTAACGTCTCTTCCTTATATAGCACTGTGGTGGTTTTATCTTACAGCATTACATTTCTGCAAGCAGAGACATAATCTATGTCTATACCCTCAGTGTGCTAGTCACCAGTTCTTTGTGGCTATCAGCCCTTGAAATGTGGCTGGTATCTGAGGAACAGAACTCTTCATTTCAATTAAATGTATAGAGCCCTATGTAGTTAGAGAAAACCCGTAGGAAGAATAAGCATTCTTCAACACCACTTAGCCCTGGGGACAGGCAGTGCCCAAAGCACATCCTTATCCTTCTGTTTTCCCTTGAGCCTTTCAGATGAGGGAAACCTGAGAGTCCTGTTTGCCTTCACTCACCTTTTCTAGCAGGTTCTACCTACTCAGAGAGCCTAACCTTCTACCCCATTGGCCTGCTTCCTTTTTGTTATGATGAGCTATGAGACCCTTGGAGCAAGAGAAAAGTAACCTCAGAAAATGTCCAGAGTACAGGTCTCAAACTAGTGTCCCGCAGACTAAATCTAGCTCACAGATATGTTTACTCAGGCTTTCATAATATTTAACAATATCTGAGCCAACATTTAAAAATTGAGATCCATCACATATAACCAATATATCTTGCTACTTTCAGTAAATTTAAAGATTGAGCATCCTTGGGTCCACATTGACTAGAGCCGAGTAACTGCGGCTCTCTGTGGGTGGAGAATATAATCTTGATTTGCCACAATCGCCACCACTCCCTATTGCTCACCAACAATGAGGCTTTGTGTTGATTACCTCTTTTATCATCATCATTGTGCTATTATTTTTCTTATAGTGAAGAAATATTTCTCCAGACACATGTGTCATTCAAAGGTGGTAAAATGAATGAGAAATCAATAGGGCATTGTATTTTTCAACCCAGCCTATTTCACAGTTATAACGCCTTGCCTGGCTTCTGGAAGCATTTGAGGATGTGAGACCTTTACTAGAGGGACGAAATACACAGGGCATGATAGGCACACTGCACTTCCCAGTCCAGCCCCTTGTCAGACTTCAGTAAGGGACCACGCCCCTTCCCTCAGGTCCTTCTTGACATCCACCAGCAAAATGACGTTCCTCGCCATTCTGCATATGGCCCAACGCTGTCATTTTACTGAGCTCGAAACTGAGGTCCAGGAAACTTAAGCAATCACTGAGTCGGGGATGACACCATAATGAAACCTTGAATCACTTGACTCTGGAGGTATTTTCACAGGCCCAAACCACCCCACTGGGGAGAGAAGAAATGGAGACCAGGCTCAGAGCCGGGCTTGTCTGTGGCAGGAGCAGACACGGTGCCCGCTGGGCTGGATCTGTTCCTCCCGTTTCCCAGCGCATCCTGTGACGTCTGCCTCAGTCCGCCCTTGCCTTCCCTCTTCCTGCACGCTTTCCTATTCCAATCCAACGGTGGGAGATCGCTGACTCAGCTCCCCCCGAATGACGCCCCATTCCAACCTCTGCTCCCCAAACCACCCAAAGACTCAGGGGAGTACTTACGGCACCCGGAGCTTAGGGAACTTCTGAATGTCGTTTTCTGTCAGGTTCTGAAATGAAGACACCAGCAGGTTACAGCCCACAGGCAGGGCGCGGGGCCAGGTGAATGGAGTCAGGATTGAAGCAATAGGGGGTGGTGGGGACTGCGGCAGACCAAGGCGTCCAGCCCACCCATCCACTCAAAGTGGGCAGCTTCCAGGTGTTGTAGAAAGCCCGCAGGCCTGGTGGTGCCAGGTGTACTTTTTCAAAGGCAATTTAGGTGAAATTTCCTCATTCCTCTATATTGACAAATAATTTTAACTTAAACAAACACTATGAGAGCTAAATTTTGGACCACACAGAATTCGCTTTGTGGGCTGAATCTAGCATGTTGTGACCTCTTCTGGTCGGAAGCTCTCGCCCCAGACTTCAGGGCCCCCACACTCTGTATGAGCTGAGCAACAGTGAGAAGCCGGCCCCGAGAAGGAATCTGTGCCCTGATGCCTCCACCACACCCCCAAAGCCTCTCACCAGGCTCGTTGTAGAACTCTCTAGATTTGGGGAGCCGAGAAGGGAAAGAAGGAGGAAATGATATTTGTGAGGAACTGGACCTTTGCCTCACAGCACTTTGATTCGTCTTCGCATCCACCCTGCGATGTAGGAACTGCCTGTGCTCCCATTTTATAGACGGGAAAGCTGAGGCTTCGGATAGTAAGAGAATTTCAGGTGACAGAGCTGGGGGTGGAACCCTGCTCTAAGGCACCTGTGGTCAGTTTTCTGCCTATGTGCTTTCCCCCTCCCACGTCCAAGCCCTTTGAGGATCCAGGTAGCCTGTGTTGGAGGGGGGAGGGTGAGACAAGGTGGCTGAAGGGGCAGGGGAGACGCAGGGTGCCAATACTAGGAACAGAAAGGAGAGAGGGCGCGCTTTCTGTAGAACCAATGCTGAGCCAAAGGAGGGGCCCCTCTGACGTTCTAACTGAGGCCAGAGGCGGGTGGGGCTCCGGAGTCAGACACGCTGAGTTTGAATCTTGGTCTGTTCACTTAGCAGATGTCTGCTTTGGGGCACACACTTAGCATCTCTGAGCCTCAGTTTCCTTATCTGTGAAATGGCAATCATTTCAGTAATAATGGCCACCTTTCAGGGGTCTTGAGGGTTGAATGAGATGATGTATATCGTGTGTTTGCCTCTGCGTTGGACACACTAGATGTTAGTGTGACATGAGGGAGTTAGATGAGTAATTCTACCCCCGGGGGAGGGAGCAGCTGGGGTCTGGCTGGCTCTCGGAAGTTAGTGTCTTTGCTTTTTCTGCCCCAGGCTGGGAGACACCCGGTGTTCGCTGCCCACTGGAAAGAGCTGCCACGGTTCCCTTTGAGCCCAGCTGCCCAGGGCCCGAGGCGTCGCAGCAAGGAGTTAGCGGACTCATTGCTCCAGCGCTCAGGAGCAGTGGCCCACCCGTCCCTCATCAGACCCTCAGCCGGGGCGGGACAGGCATCTGCCAAGAGTCCTGAGAAAACCAGGCTTTGGTCAAGTTTCTTAACAACTACGACTTCTCCTCCTCCTTCTCCCTCTTCTTCTCATCCTCCCTCTCTTCGGTAATGTCACTGAGCAGCACCGTCGCCTCCCTCCCGCCCGCCCCCTCGCAGGGACGCACTGAGACCCGTGTCCAGAGTGCGGAGTGATGAGCCCAGGGCTCCCGGGCCCTCCAGAGGGGCGAGAGAGGAGCACAGGGCGGCTGGCCACCACCTGCGCTTTTGCTGACTTGGGGACATAAGCGGAGGGAACTCTGGGAAGACAGAGAAGGGGAAGGGAGACAGGAGCGTGGCTGAAGACACAGCAGCAGGATGTCAGGGAGGAGCAAGCCCTTCAGACCGGGACAGGAACCGGGAGGGAAGGTGAGAGATGTTTAATGGGGAGTTTTGCTATGTGATGTAGCCCCCTCCTTCACCTCCTTCAAAAACCTGCAGCAAACTCTGGGCTACTTGTACGAAGACTTGGGGTTAGACTTTGGCTTTGCAGGAATACGACTCCATGCCGAGTGTCCAGGCACGAGAGAGGAACTGCAAGTCAGCCCCACGCGGAGGGGCCACGTGGCTGAACAGACGCTGCTTATCTACCCAATATCCATTCTCTCTTTCTTCTTTACTGACAGGACCTGGATTTTGAACAGGCCAGCAAATGTGCCCCGTTCAAAACACGTAATACCCTACACTCTCTTGCAGATGACTGAGGTCACAGGACTCAGAATGGCCAGTGAGACATCACTGAGGTCTCCTGAGTGGCATTTCTGGAAGTTACTGCTTTCCTGAAAACGAGGGAGTGGAGTGCATTACCCATGCACTTTTGCTCCTTTGACTCCTTGCCCATCCCCCCTCCCTCCTTCCTGGAATGCAGATGTGATGCCTGGAGGTGGAGTAGCCATCTTGCCACCATTAGGACAGAAGCCACAGGCTTTTCCCCTAAGCTAGGTGGGCCTAGGTTCTCAGTGACTTCCTTCAGCAGCTCACCAGCCATGAGCACCCACCCCTAGATTTCTTATCACTTGAGAAAGATACACCCCAGTTTGTCTAAGCCACTGGGGTAAGATTCCTGTTACATGCAGCCACACGTCTTTCTGAGCACAGTTCCTCCTCTTCTTCAACTTTTGGAAGCATAGCACCCCCACTCCCCAGAAGACAAAGTCTCACAAGAAAATGAAAGAATAGCAAAACAGATCCAAGAAACCTGCTCTCTCCTACATGGAAGAAAGATAAAGGAAGGAGGGAGGGAGGGAGGAGGGAAGGAGGGAGGGAGGGAAGGAAGGAAGGGAGGAAGGAAGGAAGAAAGGAGGGAGGAAGGAAGGAAGGAAGGAAGGAAGGAGAGGGGGAAGGAAGGAAGGGGAGGAGGAAGGAAGGAAGGGGAGAGGGAAGGAAGGAAGGGGAGGGGGAAGGAAGGAAGGGGAGGGGGAAGGAAGGAAGGGGCGGGGGAAGGTAAAAGACAAGGGCTTCCACTTCTGCCCTCAATAGCAGAATGGTCCTGGATATCATGCAGCTAGAAGGAATGACAGACAAGAGATTAGAGCTCAGGTCCGAGTTCCCATTGTATCCAGAGCACCTGGGGTGGAGGGTGCATTTCAACAGAAGCTGCCTTGACATACCCCAGCCACTGGGGCAGGCACTGGGTCCTGCCCCTGCTCTCCTGGCTCCGAGCACCCCTCTTTTCACTTCCCGTTTATACAATGATCAGGATATGCAGCATGTCTGCCGGGTCCCAGATATTGGAGCAGAGGAGACAAAGAGGCTCAGACACCATTTCTCAACTGAGGAAACAACTCTGTCCTAACAGGCCTGAAACTCTCACGGGAGTATTGGGAGACTCTCGGGGCTCGAAGAGACGATCCCCCAGTCCAGCGTGCTCAGCGAACAGAGGACGGCGGTGGGGAGGCTCACGGAGGGCTGCGACCAGGCCCGTCCTCAAAGATGTCTCATCCCCTTTCCACTCGGCCCCGATTAACCTCTGTCCTCAGTGCTCGATGCACCAGAAGGAAACATTCAGGTTTAACAGAAATTTGCCAGAAGAAGAACAACAACAAAACTCCAGGACCACGGGGACAAAGCTCAGTATGTTAAAAACTCATGGGGTTTTTGATTGCGTTAAATGTGTTCTCACGTCCAGTTAGTAGGTGTGCGACTTAGAACAAATCACGGCACCTCTTTGTTGCAAACCAGGTGGTTGGAGCCTGCCCACAGAGCCCTTCCAGCTCTAAAACAAGCTTCTGGAAGGAGGAAGCCACACCTTGATCACCTCTATATTCCCAGCACATGGATGGTCTGGTGTGTGAAAGGAAGTCAGGAACATGCTTGCCAAGAGAATGAGTGGGTCAACAAAGAAGTGATGCCTGGGGAACAGTGAATAAACATGTCCTATACAGCACATGAAAGCAAAACTCAGACCCGTAGGGACACGGGTTTGGTCTCAGCAAGAGACTTGAGAGCTGCCCAGAAAGGGACTATAGGTAGTAGTGAGCTCACCATCACTAAAGGGATTCAAGCTTGTTGGGGGTGTATTTGTGTAGTCAGGGCCTCTCTTATTCATTGGCAAAGGTGTCATTTCAGGGGAAACGCTCAGACCACATCCCCAGCCAGATGGGCGGCAGGGATACAGTACAGGAAGCGAGTTGGTGTGCTGGGTAGAGAGCTAGAGCACATGACTTCTCTGGCCCCTCCCAACCCCGCAGTCTCATGGCCCAGCTCCCTCACTGCTGCCGACCAGCCCCGCAGGGAAACACGGCCGATTTTGCCCTCCTCATTCCAAATCCAGATCAGATAAATCTACTCCATGAAACCGTTGAGGTCTCGTTCCCTCTTCTCTTTCAAAGGGTGAAGAAATGTGTCCGGAAGAGGTGGGTTTGTGTAGTCAGGGTCTCTATTAACCACTGGCAAAGGTGTCATTTCAGGGGACGTGCTCAGACCACATCCCCACCCAGCACCCAATGCCTCCATCCCCACCATCAGACCTGCGTCATTCACTGGCTTAGTCCTTAATATATACAGCTGTATCTTAGTGTCCATTTGAAGTGGGTTTGCAACATAACGAAGTGAAGAGAGCCATATCACATGTGTCTAGTTGGCACAAAACTGTGCAATTAGTAGCAAGAAAGAGAAATGGAATTGAAATAATGAGGGTGGTTCCACTCTTTATTCCACTCCTTGGGCATGCACCCCAGAATGAGAGATGGGAAAAGAGAATCCTCTGTTCTCCCAGATGGTCTTTTTTCCCCTTGGACTTGGATTTCTCAAAGTACGGGTGGTATTGGAATAGATTTTCAAGGTGTGTGTGTATGTGAGTTTTAGCCATACTTGGATTTCTTCTTTATGCTTTGACTTTGGAATGACCTTGGTGTCAGTGAACGACCTGGGAGTATCCGAAATAGAAGGATCCTGAGAGGTGATGTGAGAGGGGTTCATACAAAACCTCTGAAGAAGGCAAAGGGCTGTGTGGGGATCCTGCAGACAGGCATTGGCCCTGGCCATCCTCAGGGACAGGGTAGACCAGCTGGCCCTGCAGCCAGTGATAAAGTTACTGAACAGCCTTGGCAGCACTTACCAAAAACCGAGGTCCATCGATGTGATGCTTCTTCACGGCCTTTTCACAGTCCTTGTAGTTCAGCTGCAGAGAGAGGCAGGTGCTGTCCGGGTGGCAGGCTCATGCCATGGTTCCCCTCCCCTGCCTGCCGCAGAAGCTCAGCAATCTGTGGCTCTTGTGGCTAGCCAGACTCCCCGCTCCCTCCCCTGCCTAGCAGAGGGGCCCGTCCCCACCTCAGGCCTGCTTTCGCTAATCCCGTGGGACTCTCTGAAATGGAGAACTTGCCTTGGTGCAAGGCTTTGGGGCCAACCCCTACGGAGAGACCGAGCCTGCCAGCCCACAAAGGGCCGCTCTGCTCCCCAGGCAGGTAGACAGGAGCAGAAAGAAGAACATAAAGACGCCCAAGGTCTCGCCACCCAAAGAGAGGTGGTGGGCATGGCGGTGTGTGTCCTTCAGTGCGTTTACTCTGAGCATGTTTCTAAACGTACTTGCGGTTATCATTTATATTCAACCTTGTGAGCCTGGCTGTTTCTCTTCATACGACCCTGATGTAGTAACCTAAGCACGGCCTCCTGTTACTGCAAAACTTATCTCAAACACTAGTCTCATGGATCCCTTGTTGCTAAACATTTCGGTGGCTGACCAAATTGTTGCTCCGATGATGATGATAGCAGCTACTAAAGCTGACCCAGCGCTTGCTCTAAGACAGGCATTGTTCTGAGGACTTACACCCCTCTAAGTCACGCACCCTGACATTTCCCGGCGGAGAGCCAATACACGGAGTGAAGTAATGGCAGGAGGTTCCCTGGGCAGCAGGTGACAAGTGGGCCTCAGAGGGAGGAATTGGTCCTATATTTGTCAGTAACGTTCTAACTCACAGCTAAGTAAAGAGAGCAAGCGTAAGGGCAGCTGAATACACCCTCCAGATCAAAACATAGCACATCGTGGACATTCCTCTGCATGCAGTTTTGTTTTCTTCGACTGAAGATAAATTGTCGAAGTTAGAGACTCCGAAGAGAGTTATGGGATCCACAGGAATGGTCATTTTGAGGGTCTCTGTTGCTCTCCTAGAGTCACGTCCATCGACAATTCTATCAGGTGTCTGTGATACCTTGTCTTCACCAGCATACACATTTGCATCGGAAATAGCTCTAGTTTGATGTTTGGGGGTGGAGTTTTTGACAGTTAAATGTTTGTCCTTGAGAATCTTAGGTTCTCCTCGCAAGTGCGAGTGTGACAGTTGATGGCAGCCTTTTTTAGGTACCGGTTTATACCTAGGGCCTTTTCCTAGGGCCAACAAGATTACAAAGTAAGCACAGTCATAACCCCTTGGCCTGAAAGGGTAGGATGAGTGTTAGAAAGCGCAGAAAAAGCTGATTTACATAAGGTCAACGTGGACGGCAAGCAGCCCCTGAGCATCCCTATTTGCATGTGCTGGGCTTCCAGTGGTTCTTGGAAGAGTCAACTTCATTCAGATCATTACTCTCACTGTCATCATTGCCAGATGACCTCTGATTTGGCAAAGTGCTGACTTCAGCTCTAGATAGACAGACAGCTTTGCAGACTGGGGCCCGCCTAGAAGTCTGGCTCTGAACCAATAATATCCAGGCTTGGGGGCTATAATCTATATTTTTAGCAAATACTTAGATGATTTTTATGAGCATTGAGCTTTGGTTGACACTGGTCTAGAGCAGGTACCTGGTGCTGTAGATGGGACAACTGTGGCCCAGAAAGGCCTAAATTGGAGGCCTAAAGTCACACAGTGGGTTGGGAACACAGCTGGGATTCGAACTCATGGCTCTGAGCCAGGGCCTTTTTCACTGCGTGGCCCAGAGATGCTCGCCGGCCAAGTCAAAAGGAATTAGAGGATTGAAATACAAAACGTGACCTAAGTCCTCCTGGAGGGGAGGGGGTCTCACATTCCAGACGGAGGATGAGCTATGCACACAGCTGAGACGATGAGACACAAAGACCCGCCCGTCTGCCTGGGCACAGCTAGGGTCCAGGGACAGCAGCAGGAAAAATGGAAGCTGGAATGTGAATTGCCCCCTCTCTCTGCTGAATGCTTCACACATGTTACTTTCTTTAATTCCAACAGTCCCACGAGATTAGTTACTGTTAGTGTCTCTAGCATACTAATAAGGAAGCGGAGGCACAGAGAGGTCAAGTAACTAAGGCAAGGTCACCAAGCTAGCAAGTGGCACAACCAGGATTCAAACCGAGGTGTGTCTGACTCCAGAGCTGGCTGCAGAGGTGTCTCCAAGGGGGGCCTGATATCACTGCTTCATTAGAAACTGCACCTGCCAATCGATGTTTTAACTAGGAGATTCGATGGCTAAGATCCATCCCCAAATAACTCCGTGGTAGTTCACTTGGTGTTTTCTCTCTGGGGGTTTGAAGTGCTCAGAACTTGAAGGGTGTTTTTCTGAGTCGGGGGGGATTTCCGGATCACAGAAGGCCCTCAGTCTCCTGATTCCTCCTCCGGTCCTTTTATATTGGAAGGGAAAACCTGTTCGGGTGCTTTGGATTTGTCCCAGGTTTGGGATTTCCAAGAAGAAAGTTCTCCCTTTCCCCAGCTTGAGCAGAGACCCCTCTCCCTGAATCACCCCTGACCTGCAGTCCATCTCTCGGCGCTAAAGGGAACTTGACCGTGGATTCTTCTGTCGCTGGACTGGGCTGTGGTTCTCTTTCTCACACTGGAGATGAGTCTCTCTGTGCCCCCCAGCCTGTCTGCTGGCTTCCCTCCTAATTCTCAACCCTCTCCTTTCTTTATTAAGCTAAAATGCTACTTGATAGCATCTTGGCACATTTTACCGGTTGCCTGGTTCATGAGGTCTACATTTAAGAAACGTATTTCGAAATATCCTTCAAAGAGTCCGTTGTCCCAACCATCTTTGTACCCACGATGCTAGAACCTAAATTGACTATGACCTTTTCGAGGGGAAAAAGAACAGAAATAAGATGCTCAAAGAGCAGCAAATAACAGGCTCTGTGGGCTGTGCCTCCATCATGTTGCTCCCGATTCAACATTTTCAGACTTTTCTTCTTTCCGTTGGGGAAGAACGGCTGTGACACCAAAGACTTTGGTGCTACACAGACCCCAGGCTTGGTTGTGTTTCCCAGGGAGCCTGTCCTACCCCAGGAAAAACAGAAAGTTGGCTTAGAGGATCTCCAAGGCCCTGACTTTACAATCTCATCAGTATGAAGTGTCAACTGATATGATGTTAGCCTCCGATGAGGGTGTAAGAAGGTCAAATGTCCCTCACAAGACACTGTGTCCCTTGGACAGGGACAGAGGGTCGGTCCCTAACTGCGTCACGTGTCTTGGGAACTGCCCAAGCAGATACGTGACCTGTGGTCCCACCACAGATGACCAGGTATGGGGACCTTTGAGCACCTCAGTGGCTGAAAGGCAACAACATTCTGGTCTCCACTGTGCCGAAACTCGGCCTCTGACCCTGCCTGGCTAAGCCTCTTCCTCTGTAGGAGCCTCAGTTTCCCCAGCTGTAACCTGGGCTCACATCAGTTTTCTGACCTGCCTCGCAAGGCCCTGATGAAGCTCCAGGGAGACTGTACCACACAGGGGCTTGAAGAGCCCTCTTTGAGGGCCGTGGGCAATGACTGTCCAGACAGCTCCTCCAGCGTCACTCACCACAGCCCTCTCTCTGTCCCAGCCTGCATTTCTTCCGCCACCCCCAGGACTCCACCGCTCCCTCTCTAATAAGTAGCCTTGATCTCGCGAAAGGTTATAGCAGTTTTGCATCCCAGAGCATGGACTTTGGAACCAGACAGGCAACTGAAACCGGCCTCTGTCACTTGTAGTCTCTGGGGCTTTGGGGCATTTAACTACCCAGAGCTTATTTTGCAGCTGAGCCGAGGACAGACAGTGTCAAAGGGTACTGGAGAGCGTGCCACTGGAGAGCACGAACTCGAACCCTGGCACAGAGTAGGTCCCATTCACTGGAGGGCCTCCCTTCCCCATGTCACTGCGGGACACTCGGCGGGGCAGGTGTCTCTCATGGTACTCGCCCAACCGCTGAGGCTGCGCGGGGCTGGACGTTCACTGCTCTCCCCTACACCCCTCCTGTTCCGCCTGGACCCCATCTTCCAGCTGCTACCGGCCCACCGAGGGCACTGCCAGCCCCTCCAACGGCAACGAGCGAGCTCACCTTCCTGAAGTACTCGGCGAGGCTGTCGGCGTCCCAGGCCAGGACCTCCGAGCGGAAGGGCACGTTTCTCAATGCCATGGCTGCTGTCCCGGGAGGAAGCTCACCAGCCGAGTGCGGGCGCCGCACCCATGGACAGGGCACCCCAAGTCCGGAGCGTGGAGCTGTCCTCGGTCCTCCGAGGCCCAGGTACCCTCTGGAACAGCCCCGCAGAAGCCGAGGTCTTTTCTGCCGTAGCCAGATCCCAGAAAGCAACGCTTCCTCTGCGAACAAATATGGTCTCTTCTCAGAAAACGACTCAGCAAGTTTCCTTTACCACTTCCTCTGCTGGGCTCTAAATAAGTAAACAAGGAAGCCCGCCCCGCAGCCCGAGAGGTGGCGCGGCCGTTGGCAGCTCCCCGGCCAGCCCGGGAGAGGCGGGGAAGGCACCGTGGGCTCCACTGTGAGTCCAAGCCCGGTTCTGCCCAGACTCCCAGAACCCATGTGTCTGCACCACATTCCCGCTTGGCTGGGTCTTTGCAGATGACAGCCTATCTTGACAGTTGACCTAAAATATAGACCATCTCCTGCATCAGTGAGTTGCCGGGCGAAGGAGCACGGTCCTTTCGTGTTTTGCGACCACACCTCGTCCCCTCTAAAGGACAGAGTGGAGCTTGCTTCCGCTGCCTCCCTGGAGTTACTAGCAGAGGGCTCTCCGTGCGTGAGTGAGTTGGGCGCCCGGGCTGAGCGGGGCAGCGGGGCCATGCCAGGCTCAGCTTCTCACCTGGCAGCTCCACACCGTGCAGCCCAGGCGAGGACTTAAGATCTAGGCGTCCCAGTGTGCACCCAGTGTCTACGCTTCAGGAAACGTAGATGTCGTTCAACCAGACACACTTGGAGGAAAAAATTACAAGAAAAAAACAATTGGCATTGATGCTGCTCTGTTCTATTTGTTCCTCCATATGTCCTGCCCAAGCAGCACAGTCCCTGGAGTGGCCCTAAGACAGGAACAGGGACCTGCTGTTTTCGTACCCGGTCTCAGTCTGAGCGCCTTGTTGGCACAGGTACTCATGCTGCATCGCAGCCTCTGGACACAAGTTCACGGCTTCATCTGCTGAGCTGTGCGTGCGCCCACCATCGACTGTGATGCTGAGGAGAGAGCCAGCTCTGCTGTATTTCCTGAGTGACCCTGCCTTGTCCCTGGGGAGGAGCCTTCCCCAAGCTTCTCCAAGGGCAGCTTCGGCCATGCACCGTTTCCATTGCAGGCAGAACCTCAGGAGTCTCGCCGGGGCGTGCTGAGCTTCAGTGAGCTCTGCATCTCCCCTAGGCCCCGCACGGTTACGGAAGTGGTCCATGCACCTGAGCTGGCACCATCCTCGCCTCTCAGGAGACGGGCATCCATCGAGGTGGCCCAGGCTGAGCGCTCCCAGCAGGGCCTGGGCTGAGCTCTGCAAAAGCCCCACCACCGGTGGGAGAGGGTGCTTCACTTTTCCAATCACCAGAAGAGCAGCTGAGGATTAAACGATAACAAAAAAGGCCATTTGAAAAGAGAGAGAGAAAAATCACTTCCAAGTAGAGTGGTCAAAGAATATGTGATGGAATTAGCTGGGATTTAAGCAGGCCCTTGGAAGATGGAGCAGAGGGAGGACAGTCGACATTCTGTATGTGTGTGTGTGTGTGTGTGTGTGTGTTGGACTGTATCTCATGAGCAAATAAAATATGGCATACCATGCGTGACCAGTGTGGCTCAGTGGAGTGAGCATCCTCCCGTGGACTGAGAGGTCCCGGTTCAATTCCTGGTCAGGGCACATGCCCAGGTTTTGGCCTCCATCCCCAGTAGGAGGTGTACAGGAGGCAGCTGAACACTGTGTCTCTCTCACATCAATGTTTTTATCTCTCTCTTCCTTCCTCTCTCTCTAAAAATTCAATTAAAATATATTTAAAAAATATGCCATACCTATGGAAAGGACCATTCAAGTTCTTCCCTAAAAGTAGAAGCAATTTTTAAAATGATGTTCACCGCCACCCCCCTGCTGTCTCTCTCTGGCTGCCGGGGTCGGCGCAACACAATGAACTACAAGCACACACTGGTAGGAGTGAGGAGGAGCATTGCAAGAGAGCAAATGCTCCAGATCTCTGGATGCAGCCCGATTTATTTGCAGATTGGTTCCCCAAGTTACATGTGGATTTATGTAAATTATTTTCTTGAGAAGGCATCTCTGCAAACCATACAGTCTAGCCTTGTCTCTTGCTTTTTACGGTGGAAAGAGACTTTAAAGCTAAAAAATAACAAACCCAGATGTTCTGGAGTCCTACAACTCATTGGCCATGCAAGGCAGTGAGTGTTTCAACCTTTGTCATGCAAACCTTATCTTATACACATGCACACGAAGCATGTATCTGCACCCATGGCGGTTTTCCTGCCTTCCAGTCAAACCTTCTGTCCACACACACACTTTGGTCCTAGGCTGGCCAGGTTGTGAGAATGCATATCACCAGGTTACAAATTATCCATTCACCAATGCCCCATCCCTACACGCTCCCCCCCCCCACACACACACACACACACAATTCAGGAGAAGAAGAGTCTACAAAAGTTGGAATTGAGATATAGCTAAATATTAGGCTTTGGGGAAGAATTATCCAATATATGTGGCCAAGATGGACAGTCCATGGAGCCCCTTCAGAAGAGGGAGCCAGCAACCAAGAAACCTGGAGACAGTGATGATGACACAGAATCATCACAAACACAGTGCATGGAGTCTTTCCTATGCGTCAGGGAGGGGCTGAGGATGGGCACCGATTCTCTTCCTGAATTGTTGGCACCGTTATGACTCCTTTGCAGAGGGGCAAGCTGAGGCTCAGAGAGGTCAAGCTACTTGCCACTGACCCCCTCTGAGTCCACTGTCCTCGGTGCCCCCCAGACTCTGAGATGTTACGTAAATCGCCTAAGCTGGGGGAGGGATTCAAACCCAGCTCTGTCTCCAGAGCCTGTGTGGTTTCCACTCTGTCTGTCTGCCTTCCATGGAGAGCAAGTGAGGTTGTCATTATGGACAAGTGAAGAGGAGGATACAGCCCTTTCCATGAGGCCAGCCGCTGGTGTCCTCCCCTAGGGCCACAGGCCGTTCCTGAGCAAGGGCAGCTGGGCGGCGGGAGCAGGTGACAGCAGGGGCAGCTGGTTGCTTCGGGCCTGGAGCCTTTCCCCTTTCCTGCCCTCGGGGATTTCCCAACTCACAAGTTTCGCATCTCCAGTCTCTGGCCAGAGAGTTCCAGAAGCTCCAGGGGCAGGGCCAGTTAGCCCTGAGGAAGGGAGGGTCAGGATGCCGGGAGGACCAGCATGACCCTGTGCAGGGGAGCTCACGGGCCCAGCCTCAGGCTTCACCTCTGTGAAATGGGCAGTGACAATGCAGCCTCTGGGTATAGCCCGTGGCAGAGGGGATGCTGCCGTGTGAGGCCAGCTCACACGAACCCTCCACAGAGCTCCGGTCCCGGCCCTCAGCAAGCGGCAGAGCAGAGTGGGGAGCCGCTAAGCACAGCGACATTGAGCTGTGGCCTGAGGGGGGCCCTCCCGGTGTCGCCCTCCCCCCTCGCTCTCTCCCCCAAGCCACACAAAGAAACCCCAAACTCATAAAGGTGCAAACTGACAGGTCAGCAGAGGCCTTCTTGGGCTTTGCAGTCTGGACCTCAGGGTTGGGACAGGGTGGGACAGTCCCTGAGCCCAGTGGGAGCAGCACCGTGCGAGGACGCGGGACGGGCTCCCAGGACAGGCGTCCCGGTCGCACACCCGAGCCTCTGCACAGAGCGGCGGTTCCCGCAGGGAGGCATGCGTTGGGCAGTTCAATATCAGGGACAAAGATAGCGGTAGGTGTAGCACACTGCAACCCAGAGGGGGATCACCCCAATATCCTCCCTGCTGCACCCCACCCAGTCGAGACATGAGGATCCTTCTGTTTCCTGATAACCCAGGGCAGAATTGGTGTGTAGGGGATAACTGCCTTCTTCACAGCTCAGTTTGGAGGTGACAAAAATACAGAGTCCATTGAAGAGCCGTGGGAGTCGGCCTGGGTGTGGGGGAGGGGAAGGAAGTGTCACTCAGGGACCAGCGAGAATGGAAAGTAGGGACTTTGGAGGGGAGCGTGGGTTGACGTCTCCGGAGAGGTTCCTAGGGAGCGAGGAGGTGGGCGGGAGGGTGTGCCCCTGGGAATTGAGTTTGAAAGAGGGTGTTGGCTGCAGGACAGAGGAAAAGGTGGTGGCCTGTGGCCCACAGAGGGTGCGGCCTTGGGGCACTGCAGAGAACGTCCCCACGTGGGCTCACCGCCACCGGCTTTACGGTGAGGTGATTGCTACTGGAACTTTCTCTGGGCCTGTGCGGGTTTGCCTGGAGAGAGAACAAGAATTGTCACCTTCACCGGGTGGGGATAGTCCCCGCGCCCCCGTTCTCTAAGGCTGGCAGTGTGGAATTCCACTCTCTCTGTGGAATTCCGGGTGGCAAAGGGCTCCGCTCACACGGGAGGAGAGCCAGGAAGGGGTCCACACCGGCGGCCATGCACAAAGGCGCAGAACGTGGTGACTGCCTTACAGCGGTGGCCAGGGGACAGGCCTGCCCTGCAGCATCCCTGTCCTCAGCGCTCCCGGAGGCTGTGCGGTGGTGTGTGTGTGTGTGTGGGGAGGGGGGCTCCCGCAAGCCACACTGCAGTCTGCCAGCCACCAAGACCCTCCTCCCTCCCCAGACTGGACAGCCCCCCTCCCCCGTCCTGGGACACACGTGACCAAAGCGTGAACCAGCTGCTGCACGCCAGGCTGCGAGGAGCAATCTTTTCCACTTCCTCAGAACTGACAATTTCATTCTTTTCAGAAACGACATACGTTTTTTCATCGTCTCCGTCTGTCTTTCTCTTCTGTTGTAACTGAGGTACCTCAGAAGTTCAAAGGTGGGTGGGAGGAAGTGCTTATTTGGGCTTCCTGTCCAGCCGCCTGCCTGCCTGCCCTATTTTTGAGTTGGGCAGCCTACCCCCAGGTCGCTGTGCTCGGGGGAAGCTCCGCAAGGGCCCGCAACGGTGGGTGGGTGTGGGCAGGGGCAGGAGGGGGGCAGGCTTCTCAGCTTGACAGAAGCCACAAAAAGCGTGCCCCCTCCTCCTCCGGGCAAGCTGCAAAGGACCAGAGAGCGGGCGGGGGCAGGGTGGGGGCCAGAAAAGCAAAAGCAGCTTTACCGCAGCCCTGCGGAGGCCACTGTGGCTGCCTCCAGCTGCAGACTGTGGGCCCAGGAAGCTGCGTGTCCCGAAGATGAGGCTGAGGTCTGACCAGCAAGCCCAGCAGCCC